CAGGCTGTAGATGCCGGCCGGCAGCGCCACATCGCGGCCGTCCTGCTCCAGCTGCTCGAACCACTGGCAGGTGGGCGGCGGCGCGCGGCCCTCCTCGTCCGCCTCGTCGCCGCCCGGCGCCGGACCAGCGGCGGCGGCGGCAGCGGCGCGCGCGCGCACGTAGCCAGCCGTCAACGCGTAACAGCGGCTGTCCACCACCTTGCCCTCGCGTTCCTGGCTCACCTGTTGGCGGTGGAGGAGAGGGAGGGGGGGGGGGGCGGTCATGTGGGGCGCGGACGGCCGGACACGGTGGGCAGGCAGGTGTTGGTGGGGGGCGTGAAGCCAGATTGTGCATGTCGATCGCAAGATGTACCGCTGACGTATGGAAGTAAGATGGACCACTGACATACGGAAGCAAGATGTACCACTGACGCGTGGAAGTAAGATGTACTGCTGACGTATGGAAATAAGATGTACCACTGACATGTGAAAGCAAGACGTACCGCTGACGTGTGGAAGTAAGATGTACCGCTGATGTACGGAAGTAAGATGTACTACTGACGTATGGAAGTAAGATGTACCGCTGACGTATGGAAGTAAGATGTACCGCTGATGTACGGAAGTAAGATGTACTACTGACGTATGGAAGTAAGATGTCCCGCTGACGTATGGAAGTAAGATGCACCACTGACGTATGGAAGTAAGATGTACCGCTGACGTATGGAAGTAAGATGTACCACTGACGTATGGAAGTAAGATGTACCGCTGACGCGCGGAAGTAAGATGGACCACTGACGTCCGGAAGTAAGATGTACCACTGACGTACGGAAGTAAGGTGTACCGCTAACATATGGAAGTAAGGTGTACCGCTGACATATGGAGGTAAGATGTACTGCTGACATGTGGAAGTAGGATGTACCACTGACATATGAAAGTAGGATGTACCACTAACATACGGAAGAAAGATGTACCACTGATGTACAGAAGTAAGATGTGCCACTGATGTACAGAACTAAGAAGTACCACTGATGCATGGAAGTAAGATGTACCACTGACATACATAATTCAGGTGTACCACTGAGGTACAGAAGTAAGATGTACTACTAACATACAGAAGTACCATGAACCACTGATGTATGGAAGTAAGATGTACCACTGATGTACAGAAGTCAGGTGTACCACTGACATACAGAAGTAAGATGTGACACTGACACAAGAAGTAAGATGTAGCAGTGCTGTACAGAGGACAGGTGTACCACTGACATACAGAGTTAAGAAGTGACACTGGCATGCGGAAGCAAGATGTTCCAGTGACACATGGACGTCAGATGTACCACTGACGTATGGACATAAGGTGGCAAATTAGGATGTGGTCGTCCACTGGTATTCTGACTGGTTATGGCAAGCTGCATGGTGAACAGGTGGTATGCCAGGAAGAAACAACATACAAATTACAACCACTCGGTTTTGAACATCTCGCACATGGGGGGCCAGATCATTTGAAACCAGTTGTTTCAAATCATCGCCACCATTACCTACCTCCTCGTGAATGCACAGATTCTTGCGCGAGCTGATGGCCAAGCCGACCAGCTTGCTCTTCTGGCCAGACTGTTTCTCGATGAAGCGGTTCAGCTTGGCCAGCTCCTCCAGCACCTTTTCAATTTCCGGCACAGTTCGAGAGCAGTAGATGAGCTTTGTGATGTCCAGTGGCTTCTCCAGCATGTAGGACACGATGAGGGAGAGCAGGGAGATGGTCTTCCCTGTGCCAGATGGCATCTCCAGGACAAGGTGACCCTGCCAACACCCAAGTGAGATTGATAGCAGGAATTCACAGACCTATGCTATAGAACTGTATAACACAGCATTGCTTCAAAACATTACAATTGTTATTCACAGGCAAGGAGCAGCACCAATGATAATATCACCATGGCATTGATGACAATGTCAACATGCATGTACAAATGTAGCTCAGAGTTCAGGATTGCTGAGCAGGTACCTTACATTAAAGTGTCCATGTGATTAAATCATGAGACTGCTTTGGGACTAACTCAACATGAACATAAGGACTGTTCACAGCCAATTTTGGGGGTCACTATTCATTTTCAGCCTGGTAAACACAAAGAAGAAAATAGAGAATCAAGCCATTGTGTGGATTCCGAATGTGGACCTACATTCCCATGAGAAACCCTGGTGTCAAGATCAAGATATAGGATCCAACTCATAATGTTATGTGCCACTGACAAACTTAATGGAGAAGAATCTCAAATAAATAATAACAATAACAGGACAGCAGCAAGCACAGCTCACAGCAGTCACTTAATCTGAACATGACTTACCTTGGCATCCAAACCCTTCTTGAGCTCCAACATGTATGAGAACTGTTCTGGGTAGATGTAGTCATAAGGAAAATAGACCAAAAGGCCATCTACATTCAGCCTGGAATGGAATGAAAGACAGTGAAATCCTTTCCAACAGATAATACTTAACAAATTACATGTTTTATGGTGTTCAGGATATCATTTGTCATAAAATATGGAAGGTGAACAAAATACTATTCAGGTACATCAGATGCATTGCAGGTGCTCCCCATGATCATTCCACAATGGTGGGCATTGAGCTGATAAGCCAGAAGTGATGTTGTATCTATAAAAACTCAAATATTACTGCCTTACCTCATGTTAAATTTACTTGGATGCTGGTGTGTGATACTGCTTTGCTTTAACTTCTAACACATGACAACAAAAACATTAAAACTGCTGCTATTCCTTTGTTTTTCAATGCAAATTGAAAAATAATGATCTTGGTTGCACAACACTTTCACTTCACTTGCATTCCCTGAAAATGGGACAACACAGAGATAAAACATAGCTAAAACATTAATGGAGAACAGGGCTATTGTAGATATTCTTAGCAGGCAATTTTTCTTCAGTTTTTGCAAAGGAATCTGTGTGTGATCTCCTTGGTAATAGGAAAAATCTGACAGAAGCAGTCTTGTAGATCTGATGGCAACTGCAGGTATGGCAAGGGATAGCTTGAGGAAAATCAAGGTTAGTAAGTTTGCCACACCTGACCAATACATGGTAGTGCTGAATGAATGCCGTAATGCTTTGGCTTATCCCTCTTATACTAATAGTCATTGCTTCTGAGTAATGTGAGTAGCATGCAGCAAACATATAAAGCTTCTTTATTTCAAGGACAATATTCTGATCTGCAGATCAAAGCAGCAGTGTAGTTCCATGCTCAGAGAGATCTGCATGTTCAGATGGGAAATAAGTGAAATAAATATAAATTTTGACACTTGAATGACAAGGATGGCCCTTATAGTCATTCCACACTTGGTCCAGCCCCTCCCTCACCATCCCAATTTTGCTCGCAAAGCTAAGCCAATGCATATCAAAAATGATTCTATGCATGCCATTCACCTCCAATTCCCCCCAAAAGAGCTGATAGATGGTGGGCATTGGTGATGATGATGGATGGGGTTTTGGGGCGCATCAACTTCTAGGGTCATTTTGCGCCATGGTAGGCATTGGTCAGGTCATCAGCAACATTTTAGGTTCATGGGCTCAATCTGTACGTAAATGATCACATATTATCCATTAAATAAATGTTACTTCAATGTGCATGCAGGAATGTGTAAAACTAATAAAAACAATCAGAAATAAAAAGAGACATAAATCAACACGTCTCACCAAAACCCACCTAAGCTGCTGCAGCCCACAGGTGCGCGAAATTACCTGTATGGCATGAAACGTGGGATTATTTCGAGCCGCATGTGCCCTGGGACAAGTCAACACGCTCATGCTGATACAAATAGCTGAGTTGCATCATAGCTGAGTAGCTTTTCCAAAATCTTGGAGAATCATGAAAATGTGCATAGCTCGCTGGCCCTTCTCCGTTACCGCCTACAGTTCTTTCGAACAATACCGGCAAATGATCACCCACCCATTCGCTGCATCACCCCTGCACACCAACCGACCTCCAACCCCCGCGTGCAACTTCCCCGCTTACTCCCCCGTGTGAGGCTGGCGCAACACTGCGCCAAATTGTCGTGGTTGTCAAGTTTTTGGTTATTAATTGCGAATAGTGCAGGGCGGTGTATGACGTCATCGGTAATCTCCCTCTGCGCCGCTCCAACACTTTGCGGCCGAAACACGCAGGCACCCTCGCCGCTCTCGCTGTGTCACGAGATCGGCAAGGTGACAAATGTTTTGAGGTATGCCATCGAGCCCATTTCGTACAGAATTGTTCGAAGGTACAACGCTTGTCTTAACCCGGACATTGGATGTTTCCCGCCTGCCCCCTGCAACCATTCCTCCAATATTGCGGCCCGTGGGACTTAATCCTAATCGGGGTTCTTTGCGTTAAGAGCACGACTGGAGACTATGCCGGTATGTCCTGTGCATGTTAGAACCCTAACAACGTTGTTGATATAAGGAAGTGGGCCAATGGATATAATGAATGAATCTTTCAGACTCGGAAAGCCTGGACCTCGCTCCGAGAAATGCTTCCCGCTGAGCTGGGGCCAGCTGTCTCAGGTCCACGGGCAGTTCCGGTACACAACCGGACAGGCCGGAAAACATATTCACTCCAGAATCGGTCTGCATTAAGTTTAACTTAATATTCTTATCTATCTCGGTAAGGCACATTGCTAATTGTGATTTTCGAAAATGGTTACCAAATAGGTCACCGCCCAATTATTTTCCGTCACAGAGGACGATTCTGCACTGAATCAAAGGACACTGGACGACTGGCATTTTTAACCCGTATGCGGCCGGAAAAGGGCGGAGGCATCAGCTCTGGCTGTACCGATGGCGCCACCTGTCCAAGCAGACAGCAATAGGAGCACTTACAAATGCCCCGAACATTTAGCATGAACAGACATACGTACGGCCGTGGCTTAAGGATTCTATCCATTTAAAACAGGTGTCCATCACAAGAAGTGTCTCATGTCTCATGCTCCACACCGAGAATCTTCTGCAGCCGCCAGGACCCACAAACACGCCAGGCATCTTCACACACGACTGTATTCTACACCACATCAGCCCAGGCCGGCAGTGGCGCGCTCCGAGAGCCGCGCCAGCAGGTCAGCCACCAGCGCCTGCTCCTGCTGGTGCGTCAGCCGGGCCGTGATGTCAAGGCCGGCCGTGCGCAGCGGGTCGGCCCAGGACACTGGCTCGGCCGCCACCCCGGCCGTCACGTCCCGCAGCCAGCCAGCCGCCGAGAACCGTCCGTCCACCGCCTGGGGATGCGCAGCCCGCCGGCGTCAGAGGCGGCGACAGGCCGCACCACTGCTGGTCGTCGAGCGTGGTTTGAATTGGTAACACACCCTTCACTAGATTCTCGGATTTCCAGCTAAAACTGTGTATGATTGCTTCCTGTTGACAGCCGAAATGTAACTGCTGAGAGTGTTCAGTGTTAATCGTTTTGATTTCTTTCTCTTTTTCAAGGCTATCTTTACGGGTTCTGTTCTTTTATCCAACGTTAAATGAAATGTACATATTACAGATTGATCGCACTCCCAGGCCAAAAAGGGATTCGTTAAAGCGGCAGCGCGGAAAGACAGGACAGAACCACAGCCACGGCGCGGGAGGGCGGTGGTGCCGGTGGTACCGGTGGGGGGGGGGGGGGGGGGGGGGGGGGGGGCAGACCGACCTGTCCCTCCGGCAGGCAGCAGCGGAGGCAGAGGGCGCCCCGGCAACGGTACACGACGGCGGTGGGCAGGGAGCGGCCGCGCAGCAGTCGGGCGGCCGGCACCACGTACGGTTTGTTGCCGGGGAAGTAGTGCACCAGGAACGGCCGACCGTCCCGCTCCAGCTCCGAGAGACGGCGCAGCATCTGCGGCGGCGGCGGCCGTGACGTCAGGGAACGGAGCGCGGCCCAGCGGCCGCTGCCCGGCACATCTCGGCCTCGATCACCACTTCTTATTGGGCGTGGTATAGCGGATGTGACGGAGGTCGACGAGACATTGGTTTGAACTGGGGTGCCTTAAATAGTACGCAGCAGGTTGATGATGACTTAGAAACCTTCGTATTGCATATGCACGGATTGTGAGGCACGGCGCCACACGCTTTCAAACAAGCAATTAAGAATTTCCGTGGTCATACGCATTCAATTATCTGTGCCCATCCAGGTCACCAAACCACGGTAGCGAACTAACATTTTAAGTGTTTCTACAATAGAGGCCTCCACAACAGCACGTGCTGCGACGCGCCAGCCCCGCCTCACGCACCTCGCTCACATCCCGCTCCTTCTGGCTGGCCTTAGCCGAGTCTCCGACCTGCCGCAGCGCCTCCTGCAGCTGCAGGCGCTCGGTGTACGGCGCCGGCGCCAGCAGGGTGCGCGCCTCGGCCGCCGGCAGCTGACCGTCCGCCACCTGGCGGGCGGCCCGCAGCGCCGCCCGGCCGGCCTCCTCGGCAGCGGCCGCCGCCGGCCCGGCCACGGCGTGCAGTGTGCGCACGCCCAGGCCAGCGGCGCGCTGTCCGGTGACGCGGAAGCCGGCCAGGTCGTCGGTGCGCCGCAGGTGGGCGCCGCAACACGGCTCGGCCGAGACGTCCGGCACGCGGACCAGCCGCACCGGGTCCGGGTACACCTCGCCGGCCAGCAGAGTGGCCGCCGGGTCCCGCAGCACGGCCTCCAGCGGCGCCGAGCCGGTGACCACGGGCAGCGCCGCCTCCGACCACTGGTGCACCAGCCGTTCACACTCGCGCACCTGGCGGGAACAGACACAACGCTGACGGACGTGGCAGGGGTCATGCACGACGGGGTACAATAGCCGACGGGTACGGCGAACCACACCAGCGTACGACACAGTCGCCTAGGGCGGAACGCGCACGGTTAAGCAAATATTGAACGTTGGTCAGCTGACTTTTTTCTGAAATTTGGGTCTTTTCCCGTCCCGAATGAAGACTTACTGCTTATGCTGATTACAAGGGCGACCATAAAACGTGACGGGATTGCTGATTGCGGGATCGCTTTCCGTCAGGTTAGTTAGTAAACATGCGTGACGCTAAACGTGGTTAATTTGTACTGTCAGCAGAGTGACAAGTGACATGATGTGACGATGCAATGACCATGCAACAGTTCACGCATGACTTCCACAACTTTTTCGGCGGAACGCATACTACAAGCTAATCGGCGTTGCCACAGCCTCCGCCGGCGTCCACCCGACCGTCGTCCGACGACCCACCTGCTCGGCCGTGATGGCGCCCTGGTAGGAGGCCACCTCCAGGCGCAGGTGATCGCCGTCCACGGCGCTCGAGGTCTGCGCGGTGGCGGCGAGCACGCGGCGCAGCGCGGCGTTCAGCAGGTGCGTGGCCGTGTGGTGGCGCATGCAGGCCAGCCGCCAGCCAGCGTCCAGGCAGCAGGTGACGGCGTCGCCGGGCCGCAGTCGGCCGGCCGCCAGCGTGCCGCGGTGCAGGCTGAAGCCGCGGCAGCGCTGCGTGTCCTCCACAAGCAGCCGGCCGTCGGGCCCGGCCAGCTCGCCCCGGTCGCCTGCCTGGCCGCCACCCTCCGGGTAGAAGCAGGTGCGGTCGAGCACGACGGTGCAGGCGGCGCCAGCGGTCGCCTCCGGCAGCGGCTGGCCGTTGGCCAGCACGGCCAGCACGCGCGCCTCCAGTGGCGGGAACTCGTATTCACCCGACGGCAGGCGCGTATACTCGTACTTGGCGCTATCGTCGGTAGGTGGCAGGCCGAGCTGGTGCAGAAGCAGCGCGGCCGGTAGGTGGGGGTTGGGCGGTGCCTGCTGTCGGCTGTCGCTCTGGATGTCCGCCAGACGCTGCTCAAAGTCCTCAGCGTCGAACTGTAGGCCGCGCACTAGCGCCACCTGCGCAGCGCGCCGCCTAGTCACGTACAATGCGATGTTACAAGCATCATCTTTACCTAACTTAACTTTAAGGCAAGCAGCAACCCACCGTAAGTCGATTCGTCACACTGCAGAGTGAACGGTGATTAGTGATCTGCTTCACAGAAGCAATCTTATTGTCTGCTGTCATAGCAAGAGCAGACGACCAGCTTTCCCAGCATGCAGGGCCTAAATGCCAGGAATCTTCACACAAGTCAAACAGCGTAGCAATGGCTTCCAGGCGAAAGACGACGCCAGCTAGCCCGCTTCAACAGCACGTCGATCGAGCCGCGTCGATCACACCAATGCCTTCCAACAGATCCGTCCCAACAATAACCCCCCTCCCCCCCCCCCCCCCCCCCCGCCTGCGCGGTCCTTCCCGCGTCCCACCTCCTCCAGCACGTCCTGCGAGAGGCCATGCCGCTCGTGCAGCCGCAGCGCCAGCTCGCCGTCCAGCCGGCCGGCGGCGGGCAGCAGCCGGCGCAGCTCGCGCAGCCCCTCCACTAGGCCGGGACACTCGGCGCCTCCGCAGCTCAGCCGGCCCAGCTCTGGCAGCTCCGCCGACCAGCGGCGCCGCTCGGCCGCCGCCACCGCCGACGACGCCCGCCAGGCCTCGCGCTCCGAGCTCAGCACCACCTGCCGGCACCGCCTGACAGTGGCAGGGCCTCAGAGGGGGGCCGGGTCAGGGTGCACGGTCAGGTGCGTCGCCCTGGGGGAGGCCGGGCCCCAGAAGAGCGTGGACAGACGCACGCCGGATCTCGCAGCACTGGCCATACGACACTCATTACCAGGGGTGCATTAGCCTGAACGACAGCCACGCTCTGCACCAAAACCCCATGTAAAACGAAAACCGTCCTGACCCGTGCCTGGGCAATTTTTTCTGGGCTTGAGGCCAGGCCTGGGCGAAAGGCTTTGCCTGCAACCGCGGCACACGCAGAGAGCAGGCCGCCTCGACGAGCACCTCACCTGCACGTTGCGAAGCTGGTGGTGCATCTCGGGGAAGGCCGGCGCCAGCATCTCAGCCACCTGGTTCACCAGCCGGGGCAGCAGCGACGGCGCGTAGAAGGTGTGCTCGGCCAGGTGGAGGGCGCGCCGCAGCACGCGCCGCAGCTTCTGACTGCGGCAGGAGCACGTGACGGTCGGCGACGCGGAGGTCTGCGCGCAGCCAGGTCGGCGTCCCACGGGTCACCGCATCACTCGGTCACGGCAGCGCGGCCAGTCAGGCTCAGGTCGCCGCCCCAATGCGCCAAGGTATTGCGCCGCACAAAGGTGTTGAACAGCGCAGACTGGTAAACACACCGTGGTGCTCCACCACCGCTCAGACGCCTGCTTTGGAGCACGACAGGACTTCAGCATCAGCCGGTCGGCGGACGAGCGCTGGGAGAAAGCTCCCATTCTCTCGCCTGGACCATCACTACTCCCACTGAACGCCTTACCCACGCGAGGTCACCTCACGCCGCCGCTATCGCTGTCTCCTCCGCCGAGTGACGCGCCAGCCGGCGGACCCCCCGCGACGACGCCAGCCAGCACCCCGTATTCAGCTGCCCGGGACGGGCCACTCACTTGTCGGAGGGCACCGCGCCGTCGGCCACTGTCGCCGTCACCATACGCGCGTGGTCCGCCAGCGTGCGGTAGGCCGTGTCCAGTCCGGTGACGTCATCACGGCCGTAGCGGCCGCCGTACTGCGGCGCAGGGCTCCCCTGGCGGCCGGGCGAGACATTATCAGCTGACGGCGGATGGCCGCCGGGGACGAGAGGACAGAGCAAAACGCTGCGAGGAGAGGAGAGGAGAGGCGCAGGCTATCGCCTCATGGGGCACCCAGCACTCGGCCTGTGATGAGGGCGGCCGGCGGGCACACACATACACACACATACACACACACACACACACACACGCACACGCACACGCACACGCACACGCACACGCACACGCACGCACGCACGCGCATATGCACATACAGGAGCTCTGCTTAGACCGGGGAAGGTCATGACCTCCTGTGATTTGAGGTTGGGCGTACTCTGAAAACACGAGAAAGCTTTATTTGCACGGCCATCATATGCCTGCACCTGACATCACTAGCCAGCACGCTGCTCTTCGTAACGCTCTTTAGTGGGTGTACATGACGTAATGTTTTCAAACGCCACCAACAAAGAGGGTAATCAGACATAGACAACGCTTGACAAGTCAAGTCCTGTTGTTACCCGGTAGATGGTGCTGAAGAGCGGCGTGAAGAGATCGGTGCTGTAGTTGTCCGCCGTTCCCTGCAGGACAGCCGTCAGCCGCTCCAGGCCCATCCCGGTGTCGACGTGCCGCTCCGGCAGCGGCGTCACCGGGCCGTCCGCGTGTCTGGTGACGTCATCAGGGTCACGTGACGGTCCGTTTGCAAAACGGAACCTCATCTTTCTATTGGTCCCGCCTTTTCTGCAGTAGTTTAACGTATTTCAACTGATGGGTGATTTAATAAATTTCTCGCGTGATCTTTCACTTCTCTGGCAAATTGCAACAAGTTATGCCCGAAATCGTTCAGCGCTTCGTCGGCCGGCATTATTTACATCATCAAATTACGGCATATCACCATTGTCATCTTACTCTACACCCACCAGCACTGTCCCCTACACCGCCTTTAACTTTCACCTACTCAAAGCCTTCAAAATCGATGATTCTTGACCGGGCCAAAGCCCGACCCGTTTCGCCGGGGCCCACCATACCCCTCACCTCAGGTACTGCATGAAGACCAGGTTCCACAGCTCAACCACGTCGCCGCCGCCGGCGTTGACCCGGTGTGGCACGGCCTCGGCGCGGCCCAGGTGGTCGTAGTGGATCTCCGTGCAGGGGCCGAACGGCCCGACCGGGCCCATCTCCCACAGGTTCTCCGCGCGGAACGGCAGCACACGCTCTGCCGGCACTCTGGAGGCCGGGTCACGTGTCGGCGGCGACGTACGACGGCAAGTCACGCGGCGCCACATCACGAGGCAGCGGAAGCTACATGGTGTCTCCAGGAGCGGGATGTGGATCACGTGAGAATGGGATCACGTCACGCCGCTGGCACCGGACAGCGCAGGTCACGTGGTCACTGCGACACCAGGCGGGGGTCACGTGCTAGCTTGAACACCTGCTCGAGGGGGTAGTCAGGCACTACCAGAAACGTGCTTACATCCGGCGCAGTGGGAGTGGTGACTGAGGACCACCTCCAGAGGAAAAGCTTTACATAGCAACCCACAATTCGCACTCGATCGGGCCTGACGATTCGCCGGGTGAAATTCAGCTTACCCGATATCCCGCCAGATGTCTCTGGTCTCGGTGTCAGCCGGCAGGTTCTGTCCCGGGTCGCCGGCGTAATAGGTTACGTACAGGCGGTGCTCCCCGATGCCGTAACGCTCCGTCAGGAGTCTCCACGCCAGGCGACAGGCCTCTCGCTGGTAAGCGGCGGCCGGGTGAGGCCATGGGTCAGGAGAAAGGTATAACGAGTAAACGTAAACGAGTGAAGTAAACGTAAACGAGTAACGAAACGTCAGTGTGCTTGTTTGCTGGAAACTCTCACACAGCACAGCTTTGACAATTCGAATTTACGCGCTTTTTCTTACCGCAAGGTGAAAATAAGGAAAAGTTGGCAATGCAAATGCAAACCATAGACTCACGTACGAACACATCAGAGAAGACGAGTTGACGTCTGAAAGCTTTAAACGTTTGACGCTCGATTCGAAACTCCGTCTCGAACAGGACGGCATGGTGCGGTGAGCACCGCACCATGCCATGGTGCTGTGTTCACCGTACCATGACGATATGGTGACGTGTCAAACAACTTGTGACAAACAAGCTGTTTGTTCGACTCCCCACAAAGACGTATTTCCTCACACCGTGAATCAATATTTTTACAAAGAAAGCCCGTCGTCACTAGCACACTATGCCCCCCTCCCCCCCCCCCGTCCAGTTATGTCCAGTCGCATACTGCGGCAAAGTTACCCCGTGATTCGGACCACAACGGTGACAAAGTCAACATCTACACCACAAAATGTGCTCGACGACGACTTGGCCTCAGTGGCACGTGCACGAGCAATACGTTCAATGAACTTTAAAACAGCAGAAAAATGAACGAACTTAAACAATCAGGAAGCGTTCGCCGTAACATTCACCTTTCCATCTCGCGCAAGTGTTTTTCTCCCCCACAACTCAGAGCCCACCTTGAAGTAGTCTCCGAAGCTCCAGTTGCCCAGCATTTCGAAGAAGGTGTGGTGCGTGCCGTCCACGCCGACGTCGGACAGGTCGTTGTGCTTCCCACCGACGCGCACGCACTTCTGAGAGTTGACCGCTCGGCGGCACGGCGCCGCATCCTCGCCGGTGAAAACCGGCTTGAACTGGAACAGGCGTGAGGTCACCAGGGATGCCAAGATGAGGTCACCAGGTCACCAGGGATGCCAAGAAGGATGGCCGGGAGCGGACATGGGCAGCGAGCACAACACGCTGCCTGAGGAGGGACAACTGTCAAATCATTTCAGCGAAAACGAAGTAACAGAGCAACTGTTAAATTATTTCGGCAAAAACGGAGTAGCACGTGAGACCAGCCTCAAATTACCAAATATGCATAGATAGACATGGAATAATATTTTATCAATCCTCTGTTGCGACAAGCTAAATCCCATATTGAAGGATGGTCATCGCTCATGCATTTACCTGTACCGATCACGGGGCATTAAACAACGCTGTAAATAGACCGCCACAAAAATAGAGCTGTCATCTCCTTCCAATACACTTACCTGATTCATGCCTGCGTTCACAAACGCTAAAGTTTTGTCTTTACGAGGAATCACCGGACTTGAGCGCACGAATTTGTGGTCATTGTCTTGAAAGTAGCTGAGGAATGCTTGCCGTATTTCCGCCGCGCTCGTGCTGGCCAGTCTTGCCTGCGGTTCCGCGCGCCCCAGAAGGAACAGCAATCGGTTCCACTTCCGGCCCACGCGGTGCATTTTAGAAGCTGAAAATCAAAGCAAAATATATGAGGCCGAAGAATCCAAAGAATCCAAAAGACGGATGTTATCCGTCACGTGGATCTGTGACGGGCACTTCATTGGCATGCGGCAACATAAACCTTATTCTCAGTGCTATAATGGTAACGCTTAACCCCTCTGGTGGTGCCTAGCCTGCAACTGGCTGCAGCTTGTGACTCCAGCTGCTCTGTGGTGTCAGTACTGCGTGACCAACTAGACAGGCACATGCATTATCACGTGAACCCTGTCAACGTCTCCTCCAGGCCAGAGGCCGGCCATGGCTGAAGGCCACCACCTGGCTACCCATCACAGGGCCTGTCTGATGGACCAGTGGAGGGGTGCTGGGGTACTACTGCTCACATGGGCACTTCAGGTCTTAGCTGACAAACTGTAGAGCATGATGCTGGCCCCCAGGATAAGTGAGAGGATAAAATGCAGGTCAGACATGCGGTCCAGAATGTTCTGTGCAGAAAGCCAGAGGATGAAGCGGAGCACACTGAGTTCAAAGATAATTATGCAGTTGGAACATGGCTGAGCATCACTGATGTACAGCTCTTGGCATTCAATGACAGCCCAGTAGTCTAAGGGAACCTTTGTGTCAAAATGCCTTGGAGCATTCATAATGATGTACGCATAAGGCTTGCAAGGTTGAGAGAGAAATGTCCAAACTTATGTGGGCTTGCTGGACTTCCTTCTATGACATAGGCTGGCAAGTTGCAACTTATGGCCTCTTTTATAGGTTCCTTATCATGCAACTGAGGCAGATCCAATCATCATAGCACTGTCACTGATGTTAGCTGAGGGAAGGTTTTTTTGAAGTTATACTCTTCATGACACAGTCTAAATACTTGAACTTTTGCTAGATTTTTGCAGCCCAACATGCATGTACCATGTGATGTGGTGTGTGATATGCCATGCTGAATGCAGGATATTCTGAGAAACTGAAAGCTCCAAGCATTTACACAGTTGCCACCACTTTCAGTGCATTTGAAATTTCAGGCAACAAAGTTAATGATTCAAGGAAATTTGATAATAGACAATATAATATGATGGGCAGGCAATATAACAGGGTGGGCAATTTCAAGCACACATACCCTAAAACATCTTCTCATGCCAAAATAATTTGTGAATCAGGAAAAGTAGAACTCCAAACATACGTGGGCTCAAGCGCTTTCGCACCAAGATCCTTGTACAGATAATGAGCTTCCTTGTGAACCCTTTCAACGAGGCCACCACAGCCCAGTCCGCAACACTTACCCACTTGCATTGCAAAAATCTCCAGCCATGAAATACAATGCCAATTTAGTGGCGTCAACTTACGTTATTCGCCAAGAGCGGAAAGCTGGGTTGCGTCACTAATCCCGCACAAGAACCGGCTCATCATAAATACGTATGGTTTAGAGACGGAGGTACGGGAAAACCACACGACATTTTGCTTTTAATATATATCAGTGAGGCAGTGTTGAAACTGAGGTGCCGTTTTTCTGCAATAAGAGTAACCAAATTATGAACTGGAACTTAGTAGACAAGTTTGGTGGGAAGGGAGCGTGAGGGGTGCAGGGCAAGTAAGAGCCGTGTGGGGGGGGGGGGGACAATTAAATATTGTTCGTATATCTAAATGAAGGTGTCAGTGACATGCATGCTGTATGTTGACATAGGTAACTTATGTTTCAAAAGAACATTGTACATAAATTGCCTTCTGTTATGTAGCAAATGGAAATAATCACCAGACAGGTACATCTGCATCCTTATCCTCAAACCTTAATATTTGCAATAGTGAACATGTGAGCACTCCAGAGATGCAACACTCAACATGTTGACACTATTGCTATGACATAGTCAACATGCAATTACCCTGAAAATATGGACTTTTAAAGAAAGTATGAAAAGGACCAGAATCTAACCTAACCTAACCTAACCTAACCTAACCTTACCATGCCATTGTCACCTGGCAAACCTCCCAGCTCAATCCCATGCAACCCATGTCCTAGTACTGTCAGTGCCATCAGTGTGACATACTGGTGTTTGACCAACCTCTGCAGTCATAATCATAATCATTCAGAGGGGAAGATAATAAGATATACATGGCATATTCTTGTTTGTATGATTATGATGTCTAATATCTTAAATATTTCAATTGTTAATTGTTTCAACTTCATGTTACAGTGTCAGGTACTAATGCATGCCATGACCACAAGCAGAAATGTAGGGTGCATCTTCTGATCTCACTATTGTACAGTATGCACCATTGCTAGTTTGTTTAGGTCATAAAATTATTATGACTGAATGCCTTAAATTGTTCCAGGTTTTCAATCCCAGTATCTGAGATATACATCTTTGTTCTTTATGCAGTTATTCACAAAGCCTGAATCTAAATTACTGTTTAAATGCTTTGAATCTGTATCATTGCTTTTAAGAGCTATGTGTGTCTGTTTAAGGTACCATGAACCCACCCTTTCAAAATTTAATCCATTGTGCTGGATGCCATCATGATTATGAGCTCAATGAGACCTTCCACTTGTGTCTGCAGAACTGGTTAGGCTAAATTGTGCTTAATTATTATTTTTTGTTGAAAATATTTTTGCAAAAGCTTTCTCAATTTTATCAGCATCATCATAATTCTTTGAAATGTTGGCTCTTTATGCAATGATATGGGAGGATACTGCACCAAAAGCTGTTATGACACATGTTGGAAGCAGCAGCAAGTTTGTCATGGCACACATTAATTTGTAGCATAGTATAGTGGATGACAAGTGGCTTGTACCCAAAGACCAGTCTGCAAAAAAAAAACATCCACTGCACTGCCTACAGTGACATCTGTGCTAAACCTTATACAACCTTGCCCTGAACCTTGCTGGAGCTGAAATGTTGCTGTGGCATGTTGTAACATGTATTGTCCCAAAGGTGTACCTGACCATAAGTTCTTTGAATGTTTTAGAGAGGCTTGTTTTGTGCTTAACATTTTGACAGTAAGCAAGACAGAAGCCATGTTTGTATGTATTCAGGCTTTTGTAATTTTGTGCCTTACTTCTTCAGTAGCAATGAAACTGGGCTTACAAGCTAAATAAATTGGGTTTATTCATCACATGCCATTTACTTCCCCATGCTGGAAGGCATGAGAAACTTACATGCTGATGGGCATCATTTTGTACTGTTCTGGTCAAAGCTGTATATCATTGGCAGTGGTTGCAGTCTTGAAACAGATAGGATCAGGCTCAAATACAGTGTACATGTATTGCTCAAATATAAGTAAATAATCAAAACCATAAAAATCATGATCAAATCATATAAAATCAAATACAGCATTTTATGTAAGTGCATGTTTCAACCCACATTTTTATGCATATCAAGCACAAGAGGTCATGGTTTCTTGCTTTGAACAATGTGCCTGGTCCCTGGCACTGGTGCTGAGGGCCAGTTTGCAAGACTCTATTGGTCCATAGTCCTCCTTAATGTCTGCTGGTGCCAGCCCTTTTGCAGCCTTAGTCATTGTATGATCTTGAATGTAAATAACTGCAGCTGATGTGTACCTAGTTTCTTTTTTGTCGGGGAATCTCCGGCTTCCACATCATTGTTGGAGAGTGAAATGTGTTGGAAAACCCTTTTTCTGCTACTGGCAAAGGCTTGTTCATACTGGGTCCCTCCCCCATATTATGTGGCAAAACTATGCCATTGGCATCTGGTAGGACACTCATAATACCTCATTCTGTGTATTGCAGGTGTGGCATACATTCACACTCATCCATCCAACCAACGAACTAGCTTGACTGCACTAGTGGATCGTGATCATGCCGGCTGGTAAAGAATGGCCCCAGGGCGACCCCAGCTCATTCTCCTGCCCGGAAAAGGCGGCGGTCACGGCGCTGAACCTCAAGCTGCGCGTGGACTTCGCGGCCAAGGCGCTGGTCGGGTCGGCGGAGCTGACGGTCGAGCGGAGACAGGCTGACGCCACGCATGTCGTGCTGGACACGCGTGACCTGGACGTGTCGGCCGTGACCGACCTGGACGCAGGCGCCCCGCTCGAGTGGAGCGAGGGCGCCGTGCACGCGGCACTGGGCCGACCTCTGACGGTGCAGCTGCCGGCCGGCGGCGGCGCGGCGCGGCTGGCCATACAGTACAGCACGCGGCCGGCCTGCACGGCGCTGGCCTGGCTGGAGCCGGCGCAGACGGCCGGCCGGCGCCATCCGTACGTGTTTTCCCAGTGCCAGGCGATCCACTGCCGCTCCATGGTGCCGCTGCAGGATACGCCGGCCGTCAAGTTTCCCTTCACGGCCGAGGTGACGGCGCCGGCCGGCCTGACGGCGCTCATGTCAGGCCTGCGCGAGGGCCAGGAAGCGGCCGGCGAGGCGACCACTTTCCGTTTCCGGCAGCCGGTGCCGGTGCCGGCCTACCTGATAGCGCTGGCGGTGGGCGAGCTGGAGTCGCGCTCGCTCGGGCCGCGCTCCACCGTTTGGTCCGAGCCGGAGGTGGTCGACAAGGCGGAGTACGAGTTTGCCGACACGGAGCGCATGCTGCAGACAGCCGAGGCCATCTGCGGCCCGTACGTGTGGGGCATGTACGATTTGCTCGTGCTGCCGCCCAGCTTCCCGTTCGGCGGCATGGAGAATCCGTGCCTGACGTTCGTCACGCCGACGTTGCTGGCCGGCGACCGGTCCCTGGCTGACGTGGTGGCGCACGAGATCACACACAGTTGGACCGGCAACCTGGTCACCAACCGCAACTGGGAGCACTTCTGGCTGAACGAGGGCTTTACCACGTTCGTGGAGCGCAAGATCCAGGGCCGGCTGTTCGGCGAGCCGGCACGCCATATGTCGGCCCAGGGCGGCTGGAAGAGCCTGAAGGACACGATCCGCACGCGTGGTGCCGAAGATCCGCTTACGTGCCTGGTGCCGCGGCTGGAGGGCATTGACCCGGACGACGCGTTCTCGACCGTGCCGTACGAGAAGGGCCACACGTTCCTCTGGTACCTGGAGCAGCTGGTGGGCGGCCGTGACGAGTTTGAGCCGTTCCTCAAGGCCTACATCGCCAAGTTCAAGTACAAGACGCTGGACAGCGAGGATTTCCGCTCATTTCTGACCGAGTTCTTCGCCGAGAAGGCGGCGGCGGGCGTGTTTGCCAAGGTGGACTGGCAGGCCTGGTTCAGCACGCCGGGGATGCCGCCGCACGAGCCCGCCTTCGACACGTCGATGACGGACGCGTGCAGCCGCCTGTGCCGCAGCTGGTCTGCATGGGCCGAAGGCGAGCCGTGCCCGATGACTGCCGCCGACCTGGACGCCATGTCCTCCAGCCAGATCATCGAGTTCCTGGCTCAGCTGCTGGAAGAGCAGCTGCTCTCGGTAGCCAAGCTGCAGAAGATGGAGGAGTTGTATGGCATGAACGCGCGCCGCAACGCTGAGATCCGGTTTCGCTGGCTGCGCCTCTGCCTGGCCGGCCGGTGGCGTGAGCAGGTACCGGCCGCCCTAGAGATGGTCACCTCGCAGGGTCGGATGAAGTTCGTGCGTCCCCTCTACCGCGACCTGTATGCCTGGGAGGAGGTGCGCGACGCCGCCATTGACACCTACCGGCGCAACAAGCCGTTCATGATGCACGTGTCCGCGCATGCAGTGGCCAAGGACATGAAGTTGACCGACTGAAGATGGCGACACCAGTTGCGCCACCGGCCACGCCGAGGGAGTGATTGGCTCATGGGGTTGGGGCTGTCGGCTTGGGTCCTTCTTGCCATTGCGTACCGGACTAAATGTTGCTGGTGTCAGGTTGGCATCGCGGTTAATGGCCTCGTGGTGCGCCTTGTGATATCCGTTTTGTTCTCCGTCAGCTCTGTGCGTTTCTCTGCGTGGGTTTGTTTATTACCTTTAAGACTAACAAATGATAAAAAACTGACGTGTGCTTCTCCGCATTTTTATCTTAACACAAATACAAATGGCAACAACTAAAAAATCAAACAATGGCGGTGGCAATCTTATCTTTTAAGCTCAAACAGAAAAGGCGCATAACTGGAAATATCCCAGTATTGGCGGGCGTGCTGCGCCAAGTGTTGGGTAGGATTGTAACTACGGTGACTCGATTCGAAGCAGGTCATTGTTGGCACCGGGGACGGGTAGATGGCCGTGGTTCCCCACAGCCAATTGCTTCCTACATTCAACGTAAACGACCATCCTGTTTTAACGGACACGCCCCCACATCACTGAGGTGGCCATCTGAGCACCACTTTGAACCTCCGATGCACTGCACGTGCTTTAAGCTCGGTCTCCGGGACGAAACCGTTTAGTCACCTGCCGCTGCACGTGCAAAAAAAATTGCACAGGCAGAGAAGTAGCCAGAGGCCACGGAGTGAGTCCAGTCCAGTTATCGTTGGCAATTTTCAGCTAGTGTCTTTCTCGCCACCCCCAATTTGCGGACCTACATCTAGTCAGCAGCGCTGTGGGCCTAGGATGCTGGAATGACGTGCCATGCCGTGTATGGGAGGCATCAAAAGTTCACGCTTGAAACCCCAGCCATGAATTGATTCCGCACTCTAACAGCAAAGAATCGTTGCACTCATGGAGTACTCACGGACCCCCACTGATCGCCCGCCACCAAGGCCACTGAACGTTGGGTCAGAAACATCAATTGGGAATGAGGCGCCAAAATCTAAGGCCGCTGATTGGTCAGTTGACTCGTGTGGTTCACGCGCTAGCACGTTTAAATAAGACGCCGCTTTGTACTGAAATACAGCAAAGGCCTTGCCATAAAGATGTCAAAGCACTTTGCATTGTGACCAGTCGTGATAACCTGGCAGGATGATACATGCATACATGCAAACATATGCATATGTGCACACACACAAATATACTTAATACATGTATATATCTACATATTTACGTACGCGTGTGTCGCGTGCGTGCGTGCGCGCGTGCGTGCGTGCGCGTTTGTGGGAGTGGGCGTGGGTGTGTGAAAACGTATAGATCTTGTGCGAAGATTAAGTGTTGTGAGGTTTGTCCAGTTGGCAACGCCATATTTTAGCAGAGGAAAACAGTTTTTTCAGCTGTTATTCATTCGATGATCAAATACAGCACCATAATCATAATTCAAGTTTCGGTCGACATATGTGGGCAATGATGGTTGTGAGCAATTCCATGCTGATGTTTATCTTTACGCTTAGAAGACACGTTGCTTAGCATTTACGACCGGTTAATCTTGGCCATATTTTAGCGCACCCAGCGGTCTTTTTGAACCAACGTTAAAACCATTGTGCGGATGGCGAGTCTATACAAGATGGCGGTGGGAACGTAATGGCGAGGGCACGTTTTCCTGGAAAATCATCTCAGCAAAATGGATCCAGGAAACGAGTATGGCTGCCGCATGATCAATTCAGTGAATGTTCGCTAGTGGCCAGAAAAGAAGCGGCATTAGCAATCCGTACCTCCAAGAGTTTCGGGGTTTTGTTCTCCAGTTCCTCAAAGGTGAGTACTATGTGCGCCACAAATGCATTAGCGTGGTTTTCAGGTTGCCATATGCCTTAGTTTAGGTGAAATTCCGGTTGTTTTTTGCCGTCGTTATTCATGTATTGCAATTTTGTTGTGTTAGGCATAATTGCTGACAGAAAGACATAGGCTTAAAGGATTTTTTGCCTTGAAAGGAATGCAAATTTTGGGGGCTCAATCTATGTGTATAGAGAATAGTATGTGTGGACATGAAGTATCAGTGTATGGTAAGCTTGCATTTTGGTGGCATTTGGTCCTCCACATTTTTTGCTCGAGGGTAGGGACTGGCACGGTTGCAGAATGATGTAATTGTGATACAGTGCAAACTGGTTTGTAAACATGGGACAATGTGATTTTGATGGAGGGGTCTGGATGAGGGTTTAAACCAGTGGATACATGTCCTGATCACCCTTTAGGCACTGATATACATTTTGATAAAATGTTAGTAATATGCATCATTTCATAGTCTGCAGGAGGTAGATGTTTGGAGGAAGGGCCCTCATTTAGTGTATTTGCAAAATAAAGGTCGATGGAAGGCACCAGATTGAAAGGCATGGTGGTCTTGATCTAAATTGGTATCTTTCATGATAATTTCAAATTATTCATTAGCTATTGCTTTTAAAACATCAGACATCTTAGGTAATCATGAAATCAGAAGATGATAAAGACATCTTATTTGGCAAATATCATGATTATGATAACATGGGCAGATGTGTTAAATGTTGATCAGTCATAATGATGGTGAAATACTATCATTTGACATCCTGATGTCAAACATCCTGATGTCAAAGCCATCCTGATAGATCAACCAGTGGTTGATCTTTCTGTTCAAATTTAAGAGTACTTTTCATTGATTGGTCAACATGGGAGCTAAATATGATGTCTTATGGGGAAATGTGACATGAAATATGACATTGGATGCTGATGGCATAATTGGTTGCAGGGGATTGGGTGGGGAGGTTTATCAGAATGACAGTGGTGGGATTAGGTTAGCTTAGTTAGGTTAGATAAGATTCTGACTATTTTTCCTGTTCTTATTATCTGGGCATTTGTGCAGATAAATTGCAGGCTTTGATGTTACAGCAATGATGCCTGAGGATCCTCAGTTGTGTCTGGTGAGCTCAGATGTTGGCTATCATAATGATTTCAGTTTTGATGTAAGACTGAATGGTTGCATGTTTTATTATCAGTTACAGTATTTATTGCCAGAAAGATGATGGTTTGTATACATTAATCTTCAGTAACATAAGGCACTTACCTATGTCTACCTATACCTGCAAAGCTTTTGTGGTGAGCTAATCCAATGATACATACTTTATGAAAGGAGGGGCCAGGGGGCAGAGGAAACTGTTCTAATGTAACTGGGGTGACAGGATGATGTGCATGTGATCTAGCATGTTGAGTGGGTGTTATTTCAGATTTCAAAATAATCCACTGAAAATCTGGGCCTGGTCCAAGGTACGCAAAATGTTTGCACAATCATACAGGTTGTCAGTATGCTGCTCCATGGAAATAAAAGGTATGTTAGCTGATATTTCTAGATTTACTGCCATATCTGGTCCCATAGCAGCTGTGTCAGGTATGGACTGCCCAATATCTAGGCTGGTTCAGTAAGGTTTGGGAAATGCATTACCAATTTAAAGGTCCATAAACCTGGCATTGATTGGGCATTTCCACTATGACATTGGCCATCATGCTACACATACTTCAAATTATTTGTCTATCAGTTCAAATAATCTAATAAACTTCTGATATTTCAGCCACATGCTGCCATCAAAATAAATTTAAGTAGTACATTCAAAATTGAATAAATGATGTCCTCTTCTTGAGGGAGGAGACAGGGGGCAGAGGCAGACTGTTCTAATATGACTAAAACAAACAAAGATGAAATGTATGTGGTCAGGCATGTTGAGTGTTGGTGGTATGTTGACTAAATATCAGGTACAAAAGTAAGCAAATTATGTATAAGTTGGTGAAGTTCCCCGGAGATGGCTATATGAGGCTTTGGCTTTGACTTTCTTTCTCTTTTTTGTTCTTTTGTGATGTCAAAAAAGCAAGGGAAGTAGCTCCCCTGGTGAGAAGTGATACTCATGGTGCAATGCCATATAAAAATGATGTTGGAAGCAGCATGGGGAATCATATCATGCTGAGAGCAGATTATGAAGAGGCCATTACAAGCACTGGGTTATGTTGATGTGTGGTGTTCTGGCTAGCCGTAGTAGGCTGGAATTAAAGGGAGTGTCCCACCCGGGGGAAGGGGGGGGGGGGCATTTTGAAAACAGTCAAGTGAAACCTTGGGACTGGTAACATCTGAACAGCACTGGGTAGTGTAATTGATGCACCATTGGGACATGGTAAGGGTTTTAATTTTTTGTACAAGTTTCATTGCCAGTGATATGTCACACCTGCATATTCAACCACTTGTAACAATTGCTATGGCACCTCTCTGTGGCAGTCGTGCTTTCGGAACAATAGGGTGGAAGAAGTTGCCCTTTGCCGGTTACACATAGGTCACACATGCTACGCACTGTCACCTGCTATTGGCTGGCGACGGACCATACTGCGGTCGATGCTCTGATCCGCTGACCATGCATCAGGTACTGGTCGCTTGCCACCACCTTACTACAACAAGAATGCAGTTTTTCGGACACTACGTCCAGAGTCGTACGCTATGTGACTTTTTAGGGGATTCTTCGAATGCCGTGGAGTTTGGGTTTGGTAAGATGCTCCAGTTTTTTGCGCTATAGATTTCCCAATAATCTTTTCTTCATGAGGCTAGGGCTGATTATCAAGGCTTTATAGGATGACCTGATTGATGCACTTTTCTGATTGACATCTCTGCTAAATTAATAGTTATGGGTGCTACATGACCTACAGCATTTGATGCACCCTAAAACCCCAAATATCATCATCATCTACTGGCACAAATAAAAGGACATTTGAACGTGCTTGGTGATGTCAAGTACTGCATGTGACTGCAAGAATGACAGTTTTGCACAACTAGTTTGGCAGCACCTCAGTGTCATCCAAACATTCCATCATACAAATGATGACATGTGGTGGCGCACATTTACCAGACAAATTATTTTAGCATTTTCTTGAACAATTTCTTTGAGCATCACTTTCTACTTCATTGTATATGAATAGTCATAAGATGGCTTGTTTTGTCATCTGATGATTGATTTATTATCTTCATATGTGGAACATTTCTGTTAAGCCAGCAGGGTTATACAGAAAGAAGCAGTTAATAGATGGCTTACTCCCCTCCTACTTATCAATCATCAATTAGACCTCCAGTGTCACTGAATGACCTCATCAGAGAACTGGACGGGTTGGAAGTGTGGAGATGGTCAGTACTAGGTTGAGCTGGCACGGGCACATGCATGAAAGGTTTAAGATTGCATCAGACAAACATCGAGGAGCAGTGTCCAGCAAATGCTTCATCGTGGGCTAGCACAGGCCAATGTCAATAGATCTTTTGGCCCCATGGGTTTCATGTGTATGCAGCCTGCAACAGCAGTGTTGCTTGTTAGAAGTGCATTGACATAAAAGTTATGGGTGTTGCTATGATTCTGCAGTATTCCAAAAGTTTTCCAGTTGGGTGTGCAGAATGTAGATATGCATGTATGCTACCAGGTTTTGGTACTCTTATGTCTTCTGCACACACATGTTGGTAGAACCCAGTCAGTTTTTATTGTGGAACCTGGCATTCAACATACCTATTCATCAAGCCTGAGATGCCCACATGCAGTTTCTGTCTGGCATGATGCAGATTGGCTGGGCTTGAATAAGTGGAAACAACAGGCATTGTGCTCCTTGCCAGAAATACTGTAGCAGGAGTAAATATTGATATCCAATATGTTTCTGATATTTGAGGGTTGTGGTAAATAAATCAGGATTGAGGTGATGAATTGAAATGTCGGGGTTACATCCTATTAGGTATGATAGTGGTACTTTGTCATGAGGAAGGATAAAGCACAGGCATTTTGGGGCCACAGTCTGGGAGAGAAGTGTCACACACTGGGAAAATTGTGGAGATGTTTACCCCTGCCCCCAAATGGTTACACCCATGCATGTAGTCAGGCCTGCTGTGAGATGGGTGCACTGGGTGCCCATGGATCCCTTGGGATTTGGTGTGTATTCCAATATCATTCCTTGGAACCCAGAAACCTAGGAAAGTGCTAGATTCAATATTTGTGAAACTACATACCCTATCTGATCTGCATCAAATTGTAAAACACATTGTGCTGTTTGCTTCTTAACATGGAAAAATGGGTTCTGCTCACATCAACATCTGCCTTGGTAAGGATGCTGGTGCATCCCCTTGGAGTGTTGTCCATCTATGGGCCTAAGTGCAGTGACAGTTTGCTTTGGAAAATCCAAAACAGTAACACCTGGGTAATATGGGTATTTCTTTGGGTGGTTAATCCATACCAGTAATTCAGTTCATTGGAGCACCTCGCTTCCAATTCACATACACCCATGTAAGGGTAAGTTCTAGTTACTTTGGGCATTCATTATTTCCCTTGACTAAGATGGTTGATGGGATGGATGGTCTGTGATAGCAGCAGCTATGCTGATGGCCACATGACAGCAGAGGGTATGACAGGCTGTGTCTAGCAGTGCCGCATGTTACATTTTCACTTCGAGTCTGCCTTTTTATAATATTTGGATAGCCATATTTGGTAGCTATGGTGTGACACTTTTGATTCATGGAGCAATTTCAGGCAGGGAGCAACTGGCTCCACATTGTGATTTTGTGGTGCTCCATCTGTAGCAGATACTGTTCACCTCTAGTTTACCCTGTGCTATCGAATTGTTAAAAAATGCATAATAGTGTGCAGAAAGTCATTTTGTAACAACTTACTTGGGTGTTGTGAGGGAAACTGGCATGACAAAATAGTCCTGGTTTTGTCAAGAGACTTATGGTTTTATTTGTCATATTCATAATTGGAGAAATGCCTGTCCAAAAGGCATTCTGGAATAGTTTTGGGCCATCTTGTGAAACGATGGTGGCATGCGCTTGGTCAGAAAGCTGCTCTTGCTTCCTGCTTACACTATGTATTTTTCAGTGCTTGAATGCAAAAGTGTGGCATTATGCATTGGAGGTTTTCTGTAGATTCTTCATGCCAGGAGGGAGTCATTTGTGATCAGCCTGATTGATAAGTGGTATTCTTGGAAAGACTGGTTTGGGCTTCCTTCATGCCTGATGATTTTATGATTTTATGATTTGGTCCTAGCTTTTCAATTGGATCAATTTTTGAGTTCAGAGCTGTAATGAAACTGCATATTTTATGAGCCCTGACCCTCTCTAGGGTAACAGAAAACTATGCTTTGATATAATCAGATATATTTGAGCTTTGTTTGTGCTCAATGGCAGATTCAATGTCAAATGCTAGTCATCAGGTCTAACAGAGTCCATGTAGATGCTGGATGTTGTCCTAAAGTAAAATTCTACAAAAGTGAGAATAAGGTTATCAAAATCCATAAAATTATAAAGCCATTCTTGCCACCATGCTTGGGCTATGACGTCGGACAAGAAGACCATGGGGGGGGGGGGGACAATTCAAAAGTTGGTTCAGTCCTTGGAGTGAGGTGCCGCCAACTGCAACCATTATTGTTATCAGTATCGGAACTTATCGGTAATGAACTAGTTTCCACTAATATCATGTATTAGTAAATGCTACTCTGAGTGGTTGCAAAGCTTACACAGCAACGATTGCAGTCTGAAACATTGTTTACCAATTCCAGTCTTATTTTTATACAATTGTCTGCAGTTGAATTCGGAAATGGTTCAGCCTCCCGTCAAAAACGCCTTCCCAAAAAACCTAAGTTACATGGTATGCAACAATTATGAAAAACTTATGCAAAACACTATGTAGCTATCACAAGCTAATGCAAAAGGATTGTATTTTTTGTTTACAAAAAGGATTACAAAAGGACTATATTACCATAGCATTTTTTAAAGGTAACTCTTATTTTGATATCTAATTTGATAAATTTGTTGTAAATAATATGATGTATACTACAAAATAATGACATTGTACACCAGCCTCACAGCACGAGGAAAAACTACAGGGTTTACAGGATGGAGAAACATGAGCTACATGGTGTGTAACTAAATTGCAGTCATAGCCCTCAAGGATGCGGTTCAAGTCTGACAACTTTGCAAGTTGGCGTGAAATGTTTGGCTGGGCGTCGTGTGTGCATGTGGATGTGGAGATGCTGAACGTGGGTTGTATATGTTGCTACCCTCAGCAATACCATGTGAAATATGTTTCCTGTGATGCATATTTCCGGAGTAGGGTGCCAGAGCAAGGAGTGTTATTTCATCACTGCCCACCTTCAAAGTTTTACGCCTTCCTGTGCATTTCAAACAGATGTAAGTGCTAGCCAACTTTTGGGGGAATTCGAAGCAAGTGCGTGTGGACGCTGTTGGTGCGCCCATTTCGTATGCTTCCAAAAGTTTGTCTCACTCAACCAACACGCCCACGAAGCGAGTCACACTCTTTGGGGCGCTTAGCGTGTTTCGCGTGTCCACGCCCATCGTGTGTCGACGGGACCATACTGTAGTGGCGCGGCATCGATCCATGATTGTTTCGAAGTTACCTTGACCCCCTTGCCCCCTCGACCCCCTCGCCGTCCGTGAATATGCTGGAAGTTGCCATCAACCGTACCTGTCCTGATATGAGTATATGTCCAACTTAGTCATAAAGTGCAACCGTATAAAACTAGTGCAGTATAATAGGTGCTATATATATATATATATATATATATATATATATATATATATATATAAATTTCGCGGCCGGAATCGTCTTGGGGGCGCGGGTTCGAGATTACATGTCGCCGGTCGTAATGTCTCTAGGCTGGCGCATCACGAGTACGGCGGTGGCGGACGCTTTGAAGCCGCCCGCTTCCCGACTGACGTAGGACGTGGACGTAGGATGTGGCGTAGGACGTTTTCGCACCGTGCGGCCTCATCTTGGAACTACCTGCCGCTGACAGCTATGACTTCCCTGAGCTGTGCTGCGCTCATGTCTAAACTTTGCCAATGTAGGAAAAGAGGGGTTTGTTTGACTTTATGGGCCTTTCTCAAGTTCTTGACGTGTTTTCATCACGGCTGCAACTTCGTTTTTATCGTGTTACTTGTAACCCATTGATTGGAATCAGACATCAAGCTATATGTATGGAATGAGACGTAATAAATACATTACAGGGCTTGACAATGACCGTCGTCCCACCGTTCCAGAACCCGGAGAGTCTGCGCCGCCTGTCGTCCTGTCTCGGCGAGTCAGTGTATGCTGTGTCAAAGCGCCTGCGGGCTTTCAGTGCGCCGCCCGGCCAGCCAGACCCGAATGAGGGCGGCGGACGGGAGGAGCCGGCGCTGGCGGCCGCCGGCGCGCTGACCGGCGACCCGGAGCCGGACGGGCGCGCACGCCGCGACAGGCGCGCGCCGCCCGGCCGCCAGTCGCCGGCCGCCCAGTCTTTCAGTGGGAGTGAAGTGCCGCCGAAGCGCGGCAGGACTCGCGGCGACGTGTCGCGGACGAGCAGTGAGGCCGGCTCGGAGGCGTCGGATGGCAGCGGTCGGCAGACGCGCGCCGCCGCGCAGGCGCACGCCGCCACCTCCGGCGCCGAGCCGGCCAGTGACGGCGGCGGCCGGCGCACGCGCTCCTGCCAGCCAGTCGGCCAGCCCGGCACCCTCCTCGGCCAGCAGCGGACCGGAGACGCCGGCCGGTGGCGGCCGGACGCGGCGTGCGCCGGCCCCAGGCAGCCACGGGCCGCGACCGCCAGAGGTCGCCGGCCGCACCCGCTCGGGCGGCGCGCCGGCGGCGACCAGCCCCGCGCCGACTCCGACTACCACCTCAGCTCCGACCCCGGCGCCGGCGCCGGTGCCAGGCCTGGTGATGACACGCTCCTCGCGCGTGGTCCGGCCCAGCCGTCGCTTCGTGGAGGACAACGCGCTGCTGGGTAGCGGTCCACCTGCGTCGGCGCTGGCGCCAGAACCTGCACCGGCGCAAGTGCCGGCGCGGCCGCCGCGCGCAGCCCGCGCCCTCTCGCCCACCTCTGACCAGGAGCTGGACGAGGGCGTCATCAAGACGGTGGTGGAGTATGCGGACAGCATGGCGGCGGCGCCGGGGCGCGGCGCGGCCGTGGCTCCGCCGCCGGCCGCCGAGCCGCCGCCGGCCGCCCAATCCGACATCGAGGCCATGCTGCGCGCCCAGTGGGACGGCCGGCTGAAGGTGCGCGGCCGCGAGGAGGAGGCTGCCGCCGCGCCCGGCCGCCACCTGCTGCGCCAGCCGCGCCTTCAGCTCAACAACCGCGTGCTGAAGCGGCTGCGCGACGGCCGCGACCTCACCTACCTCAGCGAGCAGGAGGAGGCTCCGGCCGAGCCGGCCGAGGACGCGGCGGCCGCGGCCGGCTCGGGCGGCTCGCCCGCCGCGCCCACCTCGGGTGAGCACACTGGACGCGGCGGCCTGGTCTCACCCAGTGGGCGCGTCGTGGGCCTTGAACTCGAAGCTCTATTTGTCCTGCGCAGCTTGTCGAGGCAATGTGTCAGACTTTTTGCTTTTCCTGTGTGGTTGTACCATTAAATGCCATTTGCTTTGTTTGAAAAAAAACTAGCAAGAGCAGAGCACCGTTATTGTTTCTGCGCTCAGTCACCAGTGAAAGCGTCGCACGCATTGACCTCTGCAGTCGGTAAGCTCGGGGTGCGTTTCCTGTATGCCGTCTGGGCGGCTGTGTGGGTATCCCCGACCTGACCTCTGACCCCGGCCTGGGCCCGACAGGTGGCGGCTACGTAACGTGCGGCCCGTGTGGATCGCGCCGCTACGTAGCCGTGCCCAGCTTGTGCTACAAGTTTGGCAGCTGGATCTGCCTGCACTGCATCAAGTTCGTCCTCAAGATGCTGAAACAGAATGCGCCCGCCCCCAAATGCCTCGACGACAAAGGTATGGATGCTGCTTTTCTCTTTGTGGGATGTGTGCCCCTCACTTGATGCATATTCTGTACTTCACTATTTTCAATGATGTGCTCAACCTGACTCGCTGGTTTTCCTGTGGCGTTAAAATGCAAATGTGTAGAAACAAGCAGTCGTATGGTGCATAAGGAAGTAATGCTCTTGCCACCCTTTTTTCATCATCGTTTGCAGCTTTGTGCCCGCATTGAACCACAAGTATATGGCGAGATAACGTGTTATGGAATATTTTCTTCATGTAATTCGGAAAAGAATCATAAGCGCGTTGGTCTGCATACGTGACTGTGTGCCTCCGCCTGGCAGACGCGTGCCGCGTGCTTCGGGACGAGGCAGAACAGGAGCAGCCGCCGCCACCGCCCGACAGTCGCTGCGACGTCTGCTGGCTCAAGGCGTGCTTGAACGCGCTCAACTTCTCGGAGGAGCGCCACAACCGTCTGCGCTCGAGCCTGCCGCGAGCACAGCAGGCCGGCGTGCCGCTGTTCAGCCGTAAGCGTCGGTTGGAGACGGGCTGTTGCGAGTACGGGCCGCTGCGGCCGGCTGCCGCGCTGGCACCGGCGCCGGCGCCCGCCGCCCCGCCCGCCGCTCCGCCCACCCCCTGCCGCGACAAGGCCTGGGGCGGGACCTCCTCGCCCGACCCCGTCGGCTTTGAGGAGCTTAGTCGGCCGGCGGTGGCAGCAGCCGCAGCGACCGCTGCTCCGGCGACGACATCGACAACGGTCTTGGCGCCGGCGTCAACATCGGCCCCGACATCGACCACGGCACCAGTCACACCACCTACCTCGACATCGACCTCGACCCCGGCCTCCACCCCAGTGGCGGCTGCAGTTCCGGTTTCGACCCCGGCCGCGGCGTTGGCACGGGCCGGCGGCCGGAGCGGCGACCGGCCGCCGGCGCCGGGCGCGCACAGCCGCAAGGCCGTCACGTCCATCCCTCTGGGCGGCGGCTGGAAGCGCCGCGAGTTCGTGCGCAAGGGCGGCCGGCTGGACCGTGTCGTGTGTGCGCCGGACGGCACGCGATTCAAGTCTGTGGTCGAGCTGCAGGCGTACCTGCGCACCACCGACATCACGCGCAAGGCCAAGTCGTTCTTCATGGACGGGCCGCCGCCGCCGGCGCCACCGCCTGCGGCAGCGGCTGCCGCCAGCCCCGAGCCGGCCGGCGCTGAGTTGGTGCGCCTGGGCCCGGGCCACGTGCGCTCCGATCTGGTGGTGCGCGACAGCTTCGTGAAACGCGGGCCTCGCGTCAAGCTGGTGTGCCGCAGCGCGTCGCTGGTGCTGGGCCAGCCGCGCGCCACGTTCGGCGACCCGCTGGCGTCGGCGGCCGAGCCGGCAGAGCCGTCGCCGCCGCCGCCACCGTCGGCCGGCAAGGAGAACCGCACGCAGGCGACGGCGGCTGCTCGGGACGGCTGGGCCACCGTGCGACGTCACGGCGTCACCGTGAAAAAGCTGAAGAAGCGGCGCCACGCCGGCGCCGACGATAAGCCCAGCTCGCGCAACGTCCTGATGAAGCTGAAAGGTAGGCGCGCCGCGCGGGGAGCGGAGTCACGCGGCCGTCCGGGTTCAGCCGCAGCGGGGTTGGTGCGTTTAGCGCCCTTTGACTTGCCGGTTTGTTCTGATTGAAGACGGGCGAATCTGAGCAGCGGACCTGTCGCGAAACATGGAACGCGAAATTTGCTGTTCTGAATGAGTGTGCAGCTGGAGGTATGTTGAAAAGGCCTGGTGGTTGGTGCCGCGTATGCACCAGTAGCACCAGCGGGCATATGGTTGTCGCAGCGACGTACGCGTTCACGACTCCTCATTTGTGTTACAGTTTTGCACAAGTACAAACACCTGCAGCAGTCTCGCGGCAAAGAACGGATACGGAAGTCCCGCTGTGGCACCTGCTTGGGCTGCAGGGCTAAGAACTGCACCAAATGCGTCTTTTGCAAAGACATGATAAAATACGGTGGACCAGGCCGCCTCAAGAAGTCATGCGCGTGAGTCTCCGCATGAGTCCTCACTGGGGGCAGGCTTGAAGAGCAAACATCATTTTTGTCGTGCCAGATGCATAAGAAATATGACAGCATGGGACGATACATAACTTGTTTTATCGGAAGTAAATATGTTTGTAACTTGAAGTTAATGTTTTCATTATATAGTTCCATATGCGGAGGATTTGCACGCTACAGGGTTTGTCCGGCGTCGTCGTGTAACCCCTCCCCAACTAAAGTTTGCGTGGAGCTGCAATGTGTGCCTTAGATCACCTTCGTTGGGAGATTTGATAGCGTTCATCTGCAGCTGCGTAGTAATCGGTGACTGGCTTAGTCCGCTATTGGCTGTCGGTGCGCGTGCTTTCCGCGGCTGGGGTCCAGGCGAGCGAGCGCGGCGCGCCCCTTCACCGACTCACGCCACTCCGCTCCTGTGTGCCGCCAGTCGGCGGGTATGCAAGAAGCCCCTGCTGCCCGGTGTCAACGTGCTGAAGCTGGGCGAGGAGGACGACCCAGCCCCCTCCGAGGCCGCCACCGCCGCCGCCGCCTCTGAAGAGCGACCCACCGAGGCGGACACCCCCGGCACCACGCCCGCCCAGGTGAGCCCGGCACCGACCTCCGCCCGGCGCCAGGTGAAGCTGGCACCCGTGTCAATTTCCTTTCCCGTGTGAAACGGGTATCATGTCACATGTTCGGCCCGATTGAGGCTGATATCCCCGCCGTCTCTTCTGCCTATGGGGGCCGGTACTCTGCAAACATTTGAACCAGAGATGAACGCGCTAGGTGGTCCTCTCGCGCAGTGATCACGTGGACTCGTAACACCCTAGGGAATGTCTTCGCTTATGTTACCCGTCGCCACGCTGTGGCGTATGTGCCAAATTGAAGGCAGGTCTAGACGCAACGGAAAAAGGTCACAAACCCTCAACTTGACCTTCAGGGCATGTGTCAGATGCGCTGGGTGATGTGTCACCGGTCGCTAGGAGAGCAGGGGTCACGAGCTGGGCGTCGTGTGACGGCAGGCGCGGCTGCGGCGTCCGTCGCCGCTGGTGCAGCTGGACCACTGGAGTCCGCGCGACCCAGCCGAGCTGTGGGAGAGCGGCCTGGCCGTGCTGGCCGCCCAGCCGCCCGGCGTGCCCGTCCTCTGCTTCGTCTGCGCCAGCGCCGGCAAGGAGGAGGTGAGAGGTGCACCAGGCCGGGCTCGGCCGCGCCGCGGGAGCGAGGCGCCGCCTGCACTGGAGCAGCGCGCGCTGCTCTGCAGGCGGCGGGTGTTGGAGTGTTGGGGTCGCTGCGGCTGCTGTGGCGTTTGGCAACGCCCCATGGTGCGGGAATGCCGCCTCGCGATGTTGACGCTGGTGTCGCCGCGCTGCCACTGCCTCGTGATGAACTGTGTTAGGCTTTTGAAGCTATGGGCTGCAAGCGACGCGCGAAACCCGACGCGCGACGTCGAGACGCCAAGCCCGGTTACTTTAAGCAGGAGGAGGTGTGACGCCGCTGTGTCCGTCACCAGATGCTGTACTGCAACTCGTGCTGCGAGCCGTACCACCCGTTCTGCCTGGAGGAGGGCGACGTGCCGCGCTCTGCGCTGCACCAGGAGAACTGGGTGTGTCGGCGGTGTCAGGTGTGCTGCGTGTGCGGCGCCGCGCCGCCCGACGACCCGCTCCACCGCTGTCACCAGTGCAACGAGACCTACCACCTGGCCTGCCTGGGACCGCACGCCTGCGCCGCGCCCGGCCGCGCCGACCAGCCCTGGGTGAGTACCGCCGCCGCCGCCGACGGCCGCGCCCTCGGTGCGGCAGATGCCGGACGGGCCGGCACAGTATGTCAAAGTCGCCGCGCGGAAAGGTGTCAGGATACCGAAATGTCTTCGCCGAAGCTCGGCAAGGCGCATTCAGGGAAAATGGTGTATATCTGAAATTACGAAAAGGTCCAAAACTGAGGCCTAGATCCGCCCTTGAAGGGTGTCATTTTCAACGAAAAATATGAATTTTGACAACCGGTGTAGGGAGAGAGGGGAAGGGAGGCAGGTCTTTAACGGCATGATGTCACCGTTAGTAATGTAGGTTGGTCAGATACGGCGTGATTTGTGCAGCATGGAAGAGACCTGAGCTACTCGAAAAGGGCGCTAGCGAGTGGTCGCTACAACACGCCAGTAGGTGCGGACGCTTGCACAGCCGGGGAGTCGGCAGGCAACACCCCGCATACTAAATGCAACACAAGTTCGGATACTCCGTTAGCAGTTTTGGCTGCAAGTACGTGCAAGGCCCGAGATCATGAACAGCTTTGTTTTTCTTTTAATATTCTCGATTTGGATGGCTGGGGTCATGTCATGGCTGGTTGGGCGGGGACCAAAGTACCGTAGCTGCTAGCGGCTGTGGCGCCGGTAGTTGCTGGTCAAGCACGGCACGGCAGTGCTGTTTGCCGGCTGTCGTCATATTGCTGACTGACTGTGTGCGTGGCTGTCGGTGTGTGCGCGTGAATGCTGCGACTTACAGTCTGCCGCCCCGGCGGCTAACTGTCCCATGTGTGTCTGCGACCGTCAACAGGTCGACGGAACCCACGGGGGCCGCAGGCCTAGGGACGCACTAAATTGACTGCAGATCCTGTCCTGGCTCCTCTCCGTCCACCCCACCCCGCCCCGCCCCGCGCGGCGCGCGCGCTCAAACACACACACACACACATCGGACAGGTGGCCGGGCCGGGGCGGCGGCTGTGGCTGCGCGGCGCGCCGTCTGACGCCGCCTGCCTCCTGCTCCGCCGCCAGATGGCCGGCTGGCCGTTCGCGCCGGTCGGGCCGCACGCGGTGTCGGCGGGCGCGTGCGAGCGTGAGGAGGTGGAGGCGGCGCGGCTGCAGCCGCTGGCGTGCGCCTGGTGCACCGACCTGCCCAAGGTGGAGGACCCGGCGGCCGGCCGGCGCTCGCCCGTGCCGTGGCGCCGGCCAGCCAGCCCACCGATGCGCCTCGGCTGGGAGGAGCTGCTGGGCGGCGCCGGTCGGCCGTCAGCCTCCACCGCCCGGCCCGGCTCGCCGTGCCCGTCCGAGGACTCGGGGTCGGCGACCGGAGAGCGGCCGTTCGCTGGCTTCAACCCGCACCAGCTGCGTGGCTCGCCGCTCGCCGACGAGCGCTTCGTCGGCTTTCGGGCTTGTGACGTGGACGCCGCGCTGCCGGCCGACCCGCTGCTCGACATGATCGATATCGTCGACGACGAGTCGGACGGCGCCGCCAGGCCGGCCGAGCACCGCAAGCGCAGGAAGCGACGCAAGAAAATGCACTGGGGACGCTCGCCGAAAAAGTGCCGCTGGCGGATCGCGCGCGACCGAACTCTTGCCGCCGCCGTCGCCGCCGCCGCGCAGCCGCCTGCGGCTGGCAAGAACGGGTCGTCGTCCGCGCCGCCAGCGCCGCTGCCCGAACTGTACTGTCTGCCGCTGGAGTACCGACTGGTGGGCCAGGCCGAGGCGCTCGACATCCTCTACGCCGGCATGAACGCGCCCGTGATGGCGGGCCCCGAGCTGGAGCGCATCGGACTCGAGTACGGCCCGTTGGTGGAGTACCGCGAGGAGAGCGACGACGCGGGCGGCGAGGACGCCGCCGCCGCCGTGCTCTCCGTGGTTGACTACCTCTGGGAGACGGTGGACGCTGAGCTGGAGGCGCTCGGGTACGCGCCGCCGACGCGCCCGTTCGCGCTGGGCGGCGCGCGGCCTCAGCGGCCGCCGCATCGGCGCGCCGCCGACGAGCGGCCGGCCCGCCGCGTCAGCACCTCGCTGCCGGCCTCGCAGCGGCGCCTGCCGGACGGCATGACCGAGCAGGACTGGGAGCGCTGGCGCCGCCTGCTGCCCACGCGCAAGGGTCGCCCCAGGAAGTACCCGCGGCCTGACGACCTCCTCCTCATAGAGCAGCTGAAGGTGAGTGCACTCGCCGGCTGGCAGTGGCGTCGCGGCTGGGCGGACGTTTGGTTGCGCTGTTCAGATGCAGCTGAAGTGTTCGGCGTGGTAAAGTGTGCTGGGGAACTTCGTACGGTGCTGTTATTGCTGTGAAATTCCGTAGACCATTGACTTAGTACCTGTTAGTTTACAGCCTATCGTCTGTTCTGGGAAATTGTCGGGAGCTAACCTGATAAGTTGCGGAGGGCTGCTTTCAAAGAACTTTTTGTCCGCGGTGTTATTTTGCCAGGCGACTGATGCACCGCGACATTGTCCTTCGCAGGCGGGCCGTCGTTTGCCGGCGGACAGTGCTACGTACAGAGAGCTTCAACATTCCCACGCTGCGGCGCCGCGAACGCCGACATCTCGGCCGATGGACGACCTGGAGCGCGCCTCGTCGACGGACAGCGAGCCGGAGCCGGAGGAGGACGTGTCCGAGGCGGAGCCGGAACTAGAACAGAAACCGGGGCCGCACTCGGAGCTGGAGCTGGAGCCGGAGGAGGACGTGTCCGGGGCGGAGCCAGAACTGGAACCGAAACCGGAGCTGAAGTCGGCGCTGGAGCTGGAGCCGGGGGAGGACGTGTCCGAGGCGGAGCCGGCGGCGGGTCACGGCCCGCCGCCGGCCTGGCCTGCGACAGCCCGCCCGGCCGGGGCCCGCAGGCCAGCCGGTGCACCGACCGATCCGTACGGCCGGCAATACGTGACCTCGCGCAGCGGCGCTGCCGGCGGCGCCACCTATCGCCAGCTGATGGGACTGCGCGGTGCGCGTCGGCCGGCAGCTGTCCGCCTTCTGCAGGCTGGCCGACGCGCGCTGAAAGCGGCGCGTAGACACACGGCGCGCGCCGGGACAGGGGCCACCGCCGAAATGAATGTGGAGGCGGCCGTGGAAATGTGGAATGTTCCCGCCGCGGTGCAGGCGGAGGCGAGCGTGGACGACGAGCCGGATCCGTTCAGGCCGGCCGAACGCCAGCTGAAGCAGGAACTGCTGGACGATCTCTGGAAGGAAGAGGTGACGGTAGAGGCAGGCCTCGAGCAGGGGCAGGATCTCAGTGGCGCGAGCGGCACCGGCCTGGTGGATGTCACGTCAGACGGCTCGGACGTGGCGCTGAGCCCGCCGGCTGAGAACGGCGACGCGGCCGGCGCCGGCTCCGAGGAGGGCGACGCCTTCCTGCTGGCGCAGTGCGTGGACGTGGTCCCCGACTCGCCGGCCGCCGCCAAGGCGTCTCGGCGCACGCCAACCGAGCAGCCGGCCGCCGGTGACCCGTACGCCAAGACGTACCACACGGGCGCGTCGCGACGTCGCGACCGCGGCAGCTGAGCGCGCACTCCCTGCCGCCTGCAAGTGCGGCGCGCCGCGTTAGTCAGCCGGTGCGGCGCGCCGGGTATGGCCGTGCCGGCCGGCACTCATCACCACCCCAGATCATTGTAGTCAAGCCAGCCCCCTCCCCTTAGCGTTCCCTGTGTTCCCTCCTGGCCGAGTGCAGCACGGCGTCGTTTTGGCGCGTCTTTTAATAAAGTTTGCTGACGATGTGACGACGGTTGTGTCTCGACCCCGGGCGATCGACACCGCCCCGCCTCCTCCTCCTCTCCCCCGGTGTCCCTCACCCGAGCCGTCGGCGGAGCTTTACATCAGTGTGCGTGCCTGAATGATTTAAGAAGCTTGAAAGTTGCGTGTTCGAGTGGTTCAGGAAGCTGGTGAGTGGAATGTCTGAACGCTACAGAAAGTTCGGTAAGCTGTGTGTTCTGGAGACCCGGGAAGGTTTTGAATGTTCTTGCGGGAGGTATGCTGGGTGACTTACGTTAGTCTTGACTAGTGCTGTCGCAGCAAATACTTCTGGTGATTACTTCGGAATGTGCGGTCCAATTGCGCGTCACTCACCCGCTCTGAGTTTAACTGGACGTCTTTCGGCTTTTTCATTATCTTGTTTTTTTTGTGGGTGCGCTGTACGACAGCGCCCCACGTCCGGCATCGTGCATCTTCCCTCCCAGCATCTTCGTCGTGCATCTTCCCTCCCAGCCTTGTCATGTAATTCCTTTCCGTGTATTTGGCATGTTCCTTTCGTTCTGGCATTCAATTTCATGTTATTTATTAGAAACGCGTGGACAAAATGGTTATCGATTTCACTAGAATCGTGCCTGCTTTTTTAGCTTGGACACCGAAGCAGCGTTTTTTCGGTGGGCTGAATCCCAACTGGTTTTGGATTTTCAAATGGTGGCCTACCGTGAGATGGGCCTGAACCCTTCGGCCACTTGGGGCACGCAGCGGCTGACCGCCACTCTTTTCTAGGATTATATATGGTACCCAAACTGTTGGATCGATGAGCGCAACATTGCCATGTCGTGTCGGCGAGTTTCTGGGCGGACTGAGATGGATGATCAGCTGTACCTGGTTCCTGGGGCGCCTTCAGGCATCTCCGCTGCTGGCCAACTTGCGCAAACCAAGTGGACTGGCTCTACGCAATATGCGGCTGTTCGGTCCGTGGCGGCGATAAGTTTTAGTTCATGATTTTGTAGCGGCAATATCGCTGTCGGAATGATCGGTATGTAGCCATTGCTGCCTCTGACTTTCGGGGAGACTTGCAGGAGCCAGGCGGGGGGGGGGGGGGGGGGGGGAGGGGAGGGGAGACGGAGACCGACGAGTGTAGCCGGTGTGACGCGTTACGTCGCCTGCCCGTCCGTCAGAAGCCCGGGGAACAGGGAACCGACAGTGAATGTATATGCATGCATGTACAGCAAGCATTATTGTTTGCTCCTTTGCTGGTGCCGAGAGATAATGATGGTCATTAGAGTCCGATAGATAAAAGATTTCTGCGTTTCGGCAGACCTGGTGCGGCTTTCGTAATAACAACCGCAGGCCAGTCATGCACATTGGTGTTCAACGCTGCTTCGCTCAGCTTAATGGTTGGTCTGACCGTGTTCTTGAAGATGGGTCTCTTGCCCCCTTTGCTATGGTTTGGGGACAGCGGAAATAATGCCGTTGGTGGCGCTCTGCAGCGCATGCAGTTTCGTCAATTTTTACATTCGCTTTTGAAGGGTGAAAACGTTCGGGGTACTGGGAAAAAAGTGGGCTCTTGAGACCGATTCTCGCGAAGTTCTGTGCCATCAGTTTTGCCGGTGTGCTTATTTTTACTACCATTTTGTGATAAGCGGGAAGTAAGTGACGCGCGCAGCATGCTCTTGCGAATCTAAGGCAAATGTATGCTTCGCCAGCGACAATTGTTCGCAAATTTTGCGCCTCTTTCGAGCGGATGGGTACGTGTATTTATTATTTTACTTGTGGCCATCAAATAAATGCCTGTCCAGGTTCTGATGGCACGCGTTCACCAAGACACAGTCTGGTGAGCGCGGGGATACGAACCCGCAGCCCCGACATCACCACATGTCCGCTCCGAACCCGCAGCCCCGACATCGCCACATGTCCGCTCCGAACCCGCAACCCCGACATCGCCACATGTCCGCTCCGAACCCGCAGCCCCGACATCGCCACATGTCCGCTCCGAACTCGCAGCCCCGACATCGCCACATGTCCGCTCCGAACTCGCAGCCCCGACATCGCCACATATCCGCTCCGAACTCGCAGCCCCGACATCACCACATGTCCGCTCCGAACCCGCAGCCCCGACATCACCACATATCGCTCCGAACCCGCAGCCCCGACATCGCCACATACCGTTGCCGAACCCGGACGTCGCTACGCACCCACTCGAGTAGGGGTCTCGTCATCATACCACTCTGCCACACGCGTCTCGCCAATGGATGGAATGTCTGGGAATGAAATACGGTGGAATGGAGAAAGATACTCGGATTCTAGCCGTGGCAAAAAAGAGACTGTGTGTTGTCTTGTGCGGAATTCCGCCCCATCGTAGTCGATTTCGTTTCCAATCTAGCGAATGGGATTGATGCTTGAGTAGATGATTAGATCCAATCATGATGATTCGATGATTCAGGATTAGAACTTAAAGCTGCAGAGCATAACTGTAAGCCGATTTCTATCTGGATCAGGGAGGTATGGGTGCAGAAGGATCTCAGAAGTCGGCGCGCCCTAAAACCCCAATCATCATAATCGTCAGGGATGTATGGCGCAAATTGTAAATCGGCTCCGTTAAAATCGATTCACTCGGAACAGAATCTGCACACATGTGTCCCGCAATGGTGGATAATACGACGTTGTTCGATTTGTTGTGCATGCAAAAGCTGTCTGTAAAAGCAGTTCTGTTGTTTCTTAATTTTTTATTTGAATCCGGTCATCGGTGCTTCTTCTAGGACAAGTGGTTCTACTGTGCCTTAGGCCTAAATAGCAATACAATTCAATACCACGTTGACTTAACTTGATATTTGCCCAATTTCTTAGCCAACTCCGACCGAGCTTAGAACCAAGCACGGTGTAGATGCACGGATTATAGATATCAAGGACGCCCAGGCCGGCGTCCCGCGGAGCTTATCCCACTAAGGTGCCCTAGATTGCCCCGGGGCGGACAGGGCGAAAGGCTACGCCAACGTCCAACGTAGCGACCACGTCATCGAGAGGCCTCGCCATCCAGGGGCCACGTGCAGGCGCGCGTCGTTCGGTGCACGGCTAGGACAACACGCGACGGTGAGTGCGTGGCAGAAGACGCGTCCCGTGCCGTTGCCGGTCAGTCGCCACGCTGCGAGCGGCGTGTGACCCCACCGCTGAGCGAGCCGTGGGGCCCTGCCGACAGACGTGCGTGCGCTGCACGCGCTGCCGGAGCTGCCAGAAGACCGAGATCCACCAGTACGTGGGCAACCTGCCGCTCTGTCGTAACTGCTTCCAGCTACACCAGCGCGGCAACTACTGCCCGCTCTGCGGTGGCTGCTACGAGGACGACGACTACGACACCAAGGTGAGCGGCGCCGCCCGCCAGCGCTGCGGCGACGGGGCGCCTCCGGTGGGCCCGCGAGCCTCACCGGCGAGGTCTGAGCAGCGCCGCCCGCCAGCGCCGTGGCGACAGGGCGCCTCCGGTGGGCCCGCGAGCCCCACCGGCGAGGTCTGAGCGGCGGCGCCCACCAGCGCCGCGGCGACGGGGCGCCTCCGGTGGGCCCGCGAGCCCTACCGGCGAGGTCTGAGCGGCGGTGAAAATGCCCATCCCGGAGCGGTCGATTCTCTGTTTCTCCTCGGCATTCTCTTCGCCTATTCCTCCTCCTCTTACATTTTCGGGGGGCAGTTTTTTAGATGTGCTGTGGAGTGCGTGAGAAAGCGGAGCTTTTTCAGCTATAGGAGTGAGAGCAACGAGTATCTGGAGTGACGTACAGGAGTGGCTTCGGTGAAGCACCGATGTTGATGTGTTGTTTTGGAGCCATGATCTCAGTGAGGCGCCGATGTTTGATGTGTGGTTTTGGAGTCAGGATTTCGGTGAAGCGCTGATGGCTTTGGAGCCATGTTTTTAAATTGTCTGTGCTGCCTGAACTGTAAGTAGTTGACGCCGACGCGTGCAGTGAAATTATGCATCACTGTCGGCCATTGCTACATACAATGGTAAATAAGAGTTTTGGGGATACGCAGAACGTGCCTGGATGTAATGCGTAAAATGTTCGCCCAAGCTGAGGTGCTGGCCGGAACACCTCGCCTCACGCGTGAGCTCACACCTGGCCGCTGCTTACAGATGATGGAGTGCGAGTCGTGCCACACCTGGGTGCACGCGCACTGCGAGAACCTCTCCGAGGAGATGTACCAGATCCTCAGCTTCCTGCCGGAGTCGGTGTCGTACCTGTGCGACCGGTGCCTGCCTGAGCCGCCGGCGCCGGGCGTCTGCCACACCGGGCTCGCGCCTGAGCAGCGGCGCTCCTTCGTGGCCGACATCTCGTGGCGGCGCGCCGTGCGCGATGAGTTCGAGAGCGGCTGCTCGGCTGTGATCCGCGCCGTATGGTCCTGCCTCAGTCGCCGCGCCACGGGCGCCGCCGAGACCGGCGCGCCCGCCGCCGCCGTCACTACGACCGCCGCCGAGACCGGCGACGGCCAGGCGACAGCGCCGGCGGCGGAGGCGGAGCCGCCGACAGCTGCGCGTCTGCGTCAGCTGCGCAGCCAGGTGCGGCGCGGGGACGTGGCCAGCGTGCGTGCCTTCCATCGGCTGCTGCAGGCGGTGCTGGCCGAGGCGGAGGGCGAGGGGCGCGCGCGCGCCGCATACCAGCGCGCCATGACGGACGCGTTCCCCTGGTTCCAGTACGATGGCCGCGCCGTGACCCCCATCAAGCCGGGCGTGGCGCATCCGGACCACCCGTACGCGGCCGGCGCCGCCGCCGGCCCGACGCCCGCCCTCATGACTAGCCCCACCGAGGTGCGCGCGCGCGCCTCGCCCACCAAGTACCCGCGCACGCCGCTGAAGCGGCTGGCGGCTGCCGCCGGCAGCCACGAGCAGTTCCGGCCGCTGATCGACCTCTGCAACCGGCACTACCAAGCGCTGCGCGCGCGCGAGGCCGGCCGGCTGGCGGACGGGCGCCGGTGCGGCCTGTGCGCGCGCGGCGGCGAGGCGGGCGTGGCCGGCCGGCTGCTGTGGGCCGGCGCCGGCCAGTGGCTGCACGCCGGCTGCCTGCTGCACTCGAGCGAAGTGTTCGAGGAGGTGGACGGCTCGCTGCGAGCCGTGCGCGCCGCGCTGCACCGCGGCCGCCAGACGCGCTGCGTGGTCTGCCTGGAGCGTGGCGCGACGGTGGGCTGCGGTCGACGCGGCTGCGCGCGCACCGCCCACCTGCCGTGCGCCGCCGACGCCGGCTGGCACTTCGGCGCGCCGCCCTGCTGCCAGGAGCACCGGCCCGAGGCGGCCGACGAGGAAGCCGGCCGCGCCGACCCCGTGCAGCGGCGCGTATTCATCGAGCCGGAGGCGCTGCGCCGGCGGCCGGCGGCGGCGGCCCTGGACACCGTCACCGCTGTGGTGGGCAGCCTCACCATCCACTCGTTCGGCGAGCGGGTACGTGCGGCGGCGCCGCGTCAGCGCGTCACTCTGCACTGGAGACTCGTGTGCCGCCGCTGTTCGCTGACTGCGATGTCGACGGTGGCTCAGGGACTTCGCTGCGAACTGCCCGTTCAGTCTCTCTTAACGAAGTTGCCTCGCGTATTGGAACCGTGCCACGCTGCGCTGAAGCCGTCAGGTGCCAGCCGTGAAGGCCGCGGGCTGCAGTTAAGGGAGCGATGTGAGCATCCGCGTGCCCACGACATCCGCTGAGAGCAAGCTGTCGACTGTTTCTGCGTCGGACCGCGCGCATGCCCAGTGTCTGACGCCTGCCCCGGCCGTGCTCCGCAGGTGGTGTCGTCGTCGTCCTCGCGGTACCTGCTGCCGGTGGGCATGAGCTGCTCGCGCGTGTACTGGTCCACCATCAACCCGCGGCGGCGCACCGTCTACACCGTGCGGACGGTCAGCACGGGGCCGCCGCCGCCGTCGGACGTCCACTGCGTGGTAGACCACTCGCTGGACCGCGAACAGGTACGTCCGCCGCCGGTGTGCGGACGCAGCGCTGGGGTGGTACGCTCGGGACGCAGCGCTGGGATTTTCCTTTCTGAGCTGGCGCCCATACGCGGATGCATAGCGGTGTTCGCTTGATGGTGCGTACGGACGTATATCGTCGTCATGCACTGGTTTCGCTAAAACTGATCGTGTCCCTCGGCAAGAAGAATGGGCCATGCCGTGCCGTGTCGCTCGGCCATCTCTCATGATAACGACTTGTGAACCATTATTCGCGCCGACAACTCAGACATTATTACCCCTTGGTTCTTGCCACTGGGGCTGGGGCCAGCGTTTACACAACAGGTTATCCTTAGCGAGCACTGAGTATGATGTCGGCAGTAAGCGATTGAACGGCCCGCTCAGCTGCGTTGGCCGGTGATCGTAGTCCACGGCTGTTAATTCCCCCGCGCCGTTGGGTGCTGAGCGGCCATTGTATACGGGCGCGCGGGTGGGATGGGCGGGGTGAGGGGACGGCGTCTGGCCGGCGGCGCGTGACCCGTCGGCCGGCGTGCGCAGGTGGAGCGCTCTCTGCAGGAGCTGGAGGAGTGGCGGCGCGCTGTGGCCGTGCGCAGCGGGCCGGCCGAGCTGGCGCGCTGCCGCTCGGCGGCGCGCTTCGCCTTCGAGCCGGCGGCCGAGCCAGGTGGCGCGGCCGCTGAGCCGGCCTGGCCCCGCCCCGCCGAGGACCATGACCAGCAGGTGCGCCGGCTGCCGGCCAGGGCCGAAGCGGAACGTGGGGGGTCCAGGCATTCTCGACGGAAGCTGCTGAGCATGCTCAAACATTTGGGTTGTGGATTTTGTTGTGTAGGGTGTGCAGTTTGCCTCTGGTTTTTAGTTTAACACGTTAGAAGGCAGCTCCATGTAGTATGGGTTCATTGATCTTGAAGACAAGCATGCTAGTGCCACCCGGTAGGTGGCGCCCGTTAATTGAGGCTGTGTCGAGTGATCCGTGGTAGGCCGTCGTGATCTTGAAGACCTTGTGCAGTCATGGGCGTTGCGCGGGGCGGCTGTCTGGTGTGTGACCTAACGGGGCGCTGCTGTGGCGGCAGCTGACGCCGCGTGGCCGGTGTTGCAGGTGCGCGCGTGTCTAGAGTCGCTGCTGAACCAGGTGTGCCGCTCCGTGGTCGAGGAGGAGGAGACTCTGCTGGCCGAGGCCAACCTCAACATCCCCATCCTGGAGAACGTCGACAACGACTTCCTCACGCTCATGCTGAACGAGCTATGCGAAGGCGAGGGTGCCACCTACCTGGGCGAGGCCGCCGGCGTATCCGCGGCCGCCGCCGCATCGCCGCGCGCCAGCCCGGCCGCCGTCGCCGCCGACGGCCTGACCGACCCGTGCGGCCACGGCCCGGCCCAGATGGACGCCGAGTGCGCCGGCCCGGACATGGCGGGCGCCTGCTGCGCCGTCTCCGAGGCGATGGGCGCGGCTCGCGACGCCGACGGCCGCGGCGAGCCGGGTGCCGACGGCAAGACCGAGTCGGAGAAGGTGGCTGAGATTGCCGAGTCGCTGGAGCAGCTGGGTCAGGGCCCGGCCGAGCAGCAGGTGAGCAGCAGCCACCTGCAGATGTCGCCGCCGCCGCCGCCGCCACCGCCGCCCCCGTCGTCGTCTCTGCCCGTGTTCACCGACTCGTACGGGGTGCGCGCGCGCCATCGCTCCGAGCGGCTGCCCGGCTACGGGCCGGACGCGGCCGCGCTGTTCGCCGAGTACCCGGCCGCGTTCGGCGGCGGCGCGCTGGCCGGCCAGCCGCACCCGTCCGCCTTCCGGCCGGCGGCCCGACGCGGTCGCAGCCTCTCGGCCGAGCAGGCCAGTTACGAGGAGCTGATGGCGTTCAAGCCGGTGGCCACGGTGATGCCGGAGCCGCGCGACCAGCTGGCGTGGCCGGCAGAGCTGCGCACCTACTCGGCGCAGGTGCACTGTCGGCGACGGACTGGCGCCGCAGCCGCCGCCGCGGCCGCCGCTGCTGCCGCCGCGCCGCTGCTCTGCCCGACCGGCCTCTACCAGTCGTGGTGTCCGCCGCTGGCCAGCTGGCACCACGACGTCTGGTCGGCGCAGAAGCCGGACGGCTGGCCGCCGCTGGCGCCGGCTCACCAGCGCGCCGACGCCGAGTCCGGCGCCGTGCGACAGCTGTCGCAGCTCGACGGCGCCGGCGACGAGTCGGACGACGAGGCCCTGCCCAGCAAGTGTCCTAAGTGCCGGCGCATGTACCGCACGCGCGAGAGCATGCTCAAGCACCAGGACCTCTGCGATTTCGAGGTGGACAGCTCGGGCAGCAGCGAGGCGGAGGAAGAGGCTGCCGAGGGCGCGGCGCAGGTCGCCGAGCCGCGCCGCGCCTTTGTCGAGCCAGGCGAGGCCGTGCCGGAGCCGGCGGCCACCGGCGAGGCCGAGGTGTCGTCCACCACGGCCCCGCTGCCGCCCGAGCCGGACCGGCCCAAGCTGGAGATCAAGCAGGAGGCGGAGGAGGCGGCGCCGCCGGCGCGCGTCTCGCCTGCCCGACCGCGCCGCCGCTCACCCAAGAAGAAGTCAGCCGCGCCGTACGTGATGGTGCCGCCGGGCCGCGCGGGCCCGACGGCGGCGCCGCAGCCGTCGCCGGCCGCCGCCACCTCGGTTGGCATGCCGCTGCCGCAGCTGCTCATGATCGGTAACCAGCTGGTGAGCCCCGGCCACATGCTAATGCCGCAGGTGCAGCCGCAGGGTGTGGTGATAGTGCAAGGCAATGTCAGCTACACCGTACTGCCGGCACAGCACGAGCCGGTGCTGTATGGACAGCCGGCGCCCTTCCTACTCAACTACCCGCAGCTGGCGCTGCCGCCGGGCGCCAACCTGCAGCACCTGGGCTCGTTCGAGCTGGGGCCGGCGGCTGGTCAGCTGCCGCAGCCGGTCGTGTACTCGATGGCCGGCCTGACGCCGGCCGGCGGGCTCGTCACGTCTATGGTGCAGTCGGCGGCCGGCGCCGGCGGCCCCACCAGCGCCGGCGCCGCGCTCGGCCTACCGCCGCAGCCGACGGCCGGCCTGTTCGGGCTGCGGCCGGCCGCGCCGCCGCCGCCGGGCGCCGGCGTTGTCGCCGCCGCGCCCGAGCCGATAGAGCTGGGACTACCGCCGCATCAGCCGGCGCCGCTTCCGTCTCCCGCGGTGCCGGCCCCGCCTCCGCCGTCAGCACTGCCACCGCTGCCGCCGCCGCCGCCGCCACCGCCACCACCGCTGCCACCGCCACCGCCACCGTCGGCGATGCCGCTGCCGCTGCCGCCCCTGCCGCAGCCGCTGCCGCTGCCGCCGCGACCGCCACCGCCGCCTCCTCCGTCAGCGCTGCCGCCGCCGCCGTCGCTCCCGCCGCCGCCGCCGGCCGCGGCCGGGCGCAGTTCGCCGGTGCAGTCGTGTCAGGTGGACAGCAGCCGGCCACAAAGCGCTGACTCACCGGCGGCCGCCGCCTCGCCCGAGCCGGCGCCCTCGCCCGAGCTGCCGGTCGCCGGCAGCCGACACGTGTACCTGGTTAAGCCCAGTACGGTGGTGGCGCCGGCCGGCTCTTCCGACTGTAGGAAGGTGGCGAAGGTGAGTCTCTGCTGGCGCACCCCCTCCACCGCCGTCAGACACTCATTGCAAGCCGACTGAGGCTGTGTCCGCATGGTTTGTTTACGCATGCGTTTTGTCATGCGCATCGGACGCACGACATAGCACCTGGCCGCCCGGCCCCAGGCTGCAGCAGCTCGAGCCTTTATTTATGTCAGCTTAGGAGGAAGCGTGCATCTGTCTGCGTCACGTGCTGAAACTGAGTCCGTCATGCTTTTCGACGGCTACTGACCCTCAGAATTGCATGCTTCTTCATTCTGCTGCTGAACTGGTTGAGCTGAGCCTTTTTAAACACGCGCCCGGGTCGCCGGATAGATACTCTTCGCTCGCGTGTGTGTGTGGGGGGGGGGGGAATCAGTTTTTCCCCCCTGAGATCTCGGGAACTAAGGAAGCTGAAAACACCAAATTTACTGGGTGTCTTGACCTGTACGTAAACTCACTTAGGCCAAAGTTTGAGCTTCCTAGGTCACGACCTTAAGGTCAAATAGAGTCAAACAAGGTCAAATTCCAGATTGGTCTCGCAAGTGCCCTCAGAACCTAGGCAGCTATTTCTAGGCAAAAGGTCACAAGTCCATTTGAGGTCAGTGACCTTGTTTGACCTTTTGAAGGTCATCGTGACCAAGATCATACGGGATTGCTGAGTTTTGCATTTGAATAAACGACAAAGATTACGCTAGGTGCATGTGTTAGAGTATGTATTGTATGTTCCTAAAACAAAGTGTCGGCCCGGGTCGTCTTAGGTCAATGACCTGTTCTGACGTCGAAGAAATCGATGGAAGATGTATAATGCGGTTCCTGCTGTCAAACTATTTGAAATGAGCACCACAAGCTATCCCATACAGCAAACCCTGGAGGAATAAATCGGGTTGGTTGTTTACCTTGGTCTGACCTTCATACCTGACCTGAGGTCAACGTAATTTGCTCCTTCAATATTTGTTGTGCCTAAGAAAGCATCTCAGAGATGTATGGCTTCGTCAAACACTCCGTTATTGTATCAGATTGGACGATTCCCTAGAAATTGCCTTCGCTGAAGCCATGGGCTGACTTTGACCTGCCATAGGTCAGCGACCTTATAAGGTACATCTAAATTTTGTGTGTCAAACGATCCGCTATTCAATTGTTGTTTGTTGCGGTATTTGTAGATCACTAGCGGCTGTTTATCGATTACAGCTATCTCACATGCCATAAATTTGAAAATGAACAACGCCGACATTGGTACCATAGGCATGACTTACCTTGCGATGAGTAGGCCGTCATGGGTCCCAAGTTGAGCACCCTCGGATGGATATTACGCCCTACACTTTTACCATAGCGTCACCTGCTTTTGGCGCGCGTCCGACGCGCGCGAAACGCCCGTGTAAGCACACCATTATGCTTTAGCGCGTGGTGTTGAATGCCAGGACTGTGGGCGCGGGCCCAGTCTCGGAGCGGTCTTGTAACGCACGCCCGTCACGGACGGCGCATCGCCCCGCCAGCAGACGTCGGGATCCATTCCACAGATCGTGTAGATTTTTTCCATATGAGGTCTTTTGCGGATTACAGTTGACTCCCCTGAAATTGGTTACGGGTTAAGGGAATATACCCAGGAATTACTGAGCTGTGTTTCCGAGTGCGCAGCGTGTGTAGCGGTGGTCGTGGTCACGAGCTGCCGCTCATGGCCGTTCGTCATGGCCGTCAGACGCCATGTGGCCACCGGCGGCGGCCGCGTGCGCTCTCCGCCTCTGACCTGGGGTCGTCCCCCGCCAGGTGAAGCCGCGCCCCACCTACAGCTACCGCGACGCCATGAAGACCAACCCGATGCTGCAGCAGGAGAAGGGCAAGCTGATGCGCCGGCTGGTGCCGCTCGACGTGGACTCGACGTCGGGGCGGGCGGCGGGCGGCGAGGCGCGCGAGACGGCCGCGCCGCCGTCGCCGGCGCCGTCCGTCAGCAGCAGCGGCCCGGCCGGTGCCGAGCCGGACGACCCGCTCAAGCTCTCCTACCGTATCAAGCTGCGGCGGGAGCGCGCCGACGACGGATTTCAGGTGGGACGGCACAGGACGCGACGGAGTGGTCGGACGCGTTACCAGCATGCGGGTGCGGCTATGTCAAGTCTGTTAGGACGATGTTCGCGCGTTGCTGGAGTGCTGGAGTGGGTTCCCAAAGTAACACGACTTCTCAATCATTTCGTTGATGCACTGAATGTGTATGACAAGGGTACTGTGCCTAAGAGTTGGCTACCTTAGGCCAGGTAACGATTGAAGCTATTCTACTGGCGCATGCGAGAGCGTCGTTGAAGTTGTTTTCAGTCGCATAGAGCTGCGCGAAATATTGGAGATTAATTATGCGCACATTCTGCACGTACGTCAACAACGATCCCTGAGGAAATTGGCAATGCTGGCGTGATTGGTCGACGCAGCAGTGCGCGATGCTCCTAATTTGCGCCGCCTGTCAGCCACACCTGGGAGGAGGGATCTCACAGGGCAGACACGTGGGCCTGTCCGCCACACCTGGGAGGAGGGGGTCTCACAGGGCAGACACGTGGGCCTGTCGCCACGGCCGGGAGGGGGGGGGGGGGTTCTCACAGGGCAGACACGTGGGCCTGTCCGCCACACCTGGGAGGAGGGGTCTCACAGGGCAGACACGTGGGCCTGTCGCCACGGCCGGGAGGGGGGGGGGGGGTTCTCACAGGGCAGACACGTGGGCCTGTCCGCCACACCTGGGAGGAGGGGGTCTCACAGGGCAGACACGTGGGCCTGTCGCCACGGCCGGGAGGGGGGGGGGGGTTCTCACAGGGCAGACACGTGGGCCTGTCCGCCACACCTGGGAGGAGGGGGTCTCACAGGGCAGACACGTGGGCCTGTCCGCCACACCTGGGAGGAGGGGTCTCACAGGGCAGACACGTAGGCCTGTCGCCACGGCTGGGAGGAGGGGTCTCAAAGGACTGACGGCTTTCTGCCTGACTCGTTAACGCGGCATGACGGGCGTCGGCCGGGGTCGCCTGTTGCGTGCGGGTCTCGCCAGCGTGTGGCGCCTGCCCCAGAGCGGGCCGTCGCCTGCCCGTGCGTGTCTCCGCCCGCTGATGACGTGCCCGTCGAGCGTGACGGACGCCGCCGAAAGCGTCCGGAGCCGTCCGGGGGGACTGAAGCGGACCGATCGTTCTCCGGTCGAGCTGCAGGCTGCGTGCTCCGGCCGGCGGGGCTGGAGCGGACCGATCGGGGTCCGGTCGAGCTGCGGGCTGCGTGCTCCGGCCGGCGGGACTGGACCGGACCGATTGGGCTCCGGTCGAGCTGCGAGCTGCGTGCTCCGGCCGGCGGCCCAGGTGGAGCGACGGGCCGCGACTCCGCCGGCCCGCCGCCGGCCCGCCGCCGGCTGATGGAACCACGACCGGCCGCCACGGGCGGACGCCTCGGTTGCGGCGTGTTCGTGCTGTCCGCAACGATCGCCGACGTCCCGGGGAACGTCCGGCGAGGGGACGGGTGGCGGCGCCGCGGCCCCCCTGCTATTCTGGTTGCGCCCCAAAGGACTGCCCGTCCAGCGCACTAAGCCTGTCCACTGATTGTGAAGGTCTGGCATCGATCTCGTGCTGGCGGCGGCTCTGCCTGAGTTGGCCACCGGTGCGCTCTGGATAGGGGCGTAATGCGTCAGGTCCTGGTCATTGTCAACGGCGGTACCGCTGGCCGGATCTCATTCAGTGTCCTAGTTCCATTGCACTGAAGGGAATCGTCGACCGTACTAACGCCGCGGTTTTCGGCTGGCCGGCTTGCCGCCTATTGATCGATTAGCTGCAGGTAGCGACCAGCCAACGCCGTCGAGAGGTTGGGAAGCGCTGTTGTAAAATGTATGCGCGTGGATGAAACCCATGGCTAATCCGAAACCATTGAAGCAATTCGAAACAATTCCAATGAAGGGAGTGTCTCATCTTTGGGGCACATTTCAAAAACATGCTCTAGTGAAGCCTCAAGACCATCTAGTCGGATGATAGCACTTGCCTGCGGCTACTGTGGCACCGTCAATATATAATAAGGTTACCAATCTTTAATGGTTTTCTAGTCGAATTACGCTGTCACAGCGCCTTGTAACAGGATTACGCTTCTTCCCTGCGGTCGCGGCCACCGCTGCGATGACAGGTACTGTGCGCACCTCTACTGGCGCGGATGTAAGAACGTTTGCGATTGGCCCAGCGGGCGACAGCCCGTTACTGAAAGATGCATTGGTTGAAGTTTGGACCAGTGCGTCATGGATCATGTGATACTCCCATTCCCAAGAAGAAAACGCCCTCTGTGGTCAGCGGGGGAGAGATCGAAAACGCGTCTAGTGTAACGTTGCATTGAATTCGCGGCACAATGGCTTCACTATCGCATGTCGTGTCAAAACAGTTCCAAGCTTTCACAACTTGTATTGCACACAGATTGGACACATCAATGTGTGGCAGGCATTACAGAACACACGTTGGGAAAAGCAAGGCAAATGAAATGCATTGCTTTCACAGTGGTCACCAGGTTGTCAAATTTGATCTCTGCAGCTGTATCGGCTCCTTCAAATCAAAGCTCTGAACTACTCCAAAGGACTACAAGAAAACTGGTATTGCTTTTTAAATCTTACACGTCAGATCTAACAACAACTGAAAAGTAAAAATATAATGGGATAATACCTTTAATCATGGGGCCACGATTGTACCGTCTTAGAGGCGCTAAATGTGTCACAAAAGCTGTAGTTTGAAGTTGTTGTTTGTCCCATCGGATTATGGTTAGCTGCAAAGGAAAGAAGTGTTGAGATTCGGCCCGGCACAGGTGGGGAAGTTAACCAACACGTTGGAAAGTTCGTTGCGCTCTTGGAATATCGGTGCAAATACGAATTTATTTGATTTTATTTAAAAAACGTTTTGGATTAAATTTTCACTCTGAATTCAAAAGCAAAACCAACTATGGGATGCCACGTTAGTTATGAGTCATGAAGTCATCACAAACCAGATGCCTAGCTAGCTGCCGGTGTTAACAAAAAATGACAGTTTTCTCATTCGGCGTTTCTTGCTGGCCATTTTGCAATGGGGGAGGAGACTTGATCACCAGGGAAGGTGAATAGCACGTACGGACCGAGCCACTCACGTTTCCCGTGACGCGTTAGGTGCTCGCCATCATCGGTGTGTTGTTTGACGTCTGGCAACGTAGCGGCCATCGCCCTCTGAGGTCACACCCTAACTTTGCGCCGACGTTGGTCACGGGACGTGGGAAGTTCGGCACGCAAGGCGATGGCCATTTTCCCCGTCCGGTCTGGCGTGGTGTGCCGTCCAGGCGTCGGCCTTCCCAATGGTTCCTCCGCGTTGCCGCGTTGCTTGCATGCTGAATGGTGAGCGGGAGGCGCCGTCACGTGACTTCACCGACACGGATCGAGGAGTCATGTGACTTTACCTCAGCAGCAGTCATTCCGACGAAGCCGCACGCTTGTGGCGTGCACGGGCACATGGGTTGGTGTCTCGCCATTTTCTTATGGAACCGCCACACGCGTGTGAGATCAGGGCGCCCCGCCGAAGCGTTCCCCCGCTGTTACAGGGTTATTTGAGTTTCTTGTCAGGGTGCTTCGACTGTGTGGTCACGTAGCTGCCATCCCGTCCTGTAAGTGGAGCTCCTCTAGACAGGGTTGGTGGTGTTCCACTGTCGGCTGTCGTGGCCAGCGTCATAGACGACGCGTCACGTGACTTCTTACCAGCTTGCCTGAACCCAACACTGACCGGGTAGATGTCAAATCCCCCTCCATGTTCAATATACGCGACAAATCAAAAGGGCTTGAGATGTCGCTGTGAAATTTATGGTATCTGTCAGCTGATGAGTTTTTGCCTTGTGTCACAGTGACAACCATGCGACCAAAATAGATCAAGCGTGAGTGACGTCAGAGCGATGTCATGTTTGCCTTTTTTACAAAAGCGCATAGCCGTAGACGAATTGACACAGAAACGAAAGAGTATATTTGATATCTAAGCGGGAAACATGAGCCAATTAGACTATCATTCATATCCCTGTCGTGTTGTTTCAATATTGCGTGTTGAAATATTGACCTCCAACTAACAACAAAAAAGATGGTCACTCAGCATTTTTGGTCCCAGACTGCAAGTCATGAAAACAACAAAGGTTTCCTAGATACGGTTATGCAGGATGTCTGTATCTAGTTTCAAGCAATTATCTGTAGCAATGACTGGGTTGTGGCTTGTAATGCATCGCTGAAGCCTGTAGGAAGGTGGTCTTGGTGGGTGTCTGACAGAAAGCGTGTGATCTAGACTGGCCCGCCAAGATGCCGAAAAAAAATGAAACGTCTACCGTGTATATAGTGTGTGTTACGTGCTAGTAATAATGAGAAAGGCCCATGTTGGACACTTTTTATTTTGCCGGTGATGCCTATGGGGGCGACTGAGTTCGGTACATATAAAAGTTCGCTTCTTCAGTTCCATCGTGCAAGCGCCCCTACTATCGTATGGTACGACCCGTATCCAGTGGTGTCCACCTGCGCCAGACGTCCATTGTTCCGCTCCAGTGTCGCTGACGTTTGCCGCCCCGCTGCTGTATCCGTGACGACTCCCGCCTCGCTGCTGTATCCGTGACGACTCCCGCCCCGCTGCTGTATCCGTGACGACTCCCGCCCCGCTGCTGTATCCGTGACGACTCCCGCCCCGCTGCTGTATCCGTGACGACTCTCGCCCCGCTGCTGTATCCGTGACAGCTCCCGTCCCGCTGCTGTAGCCGTGACAGCTCCCGTCCCGCTGCTGTATCCGTGACGACTCTCGCCCCGCTGCTGTATCCGTGACAGCTCCCGCCCCGCTGCTGTATCCGTGACGACTCCCGCCCCGCTGCTGTATCCGTGACGACTCTCGCCCCGCTGCTGTATCCGTGGCAGCTCCCGTCCCGCTGCTGTAGCCGTGACAACTCCCGTCCCGCTGCTGTATCCATGTCGACTGCTGCTGTATCCGTGACAACTCCCGCCCCGTGCTGTATCCGTGACGACTCCCGCCCCCGCTGCTGTATCCGTGACGACTCCCGCCTCGCTGCTGTATCCGTGACAACTCCCGCCCCGCTGCTGTATCCGTGACAGCTCCCGTCCCGCTGCTGTATCCGTGACACCTCCCGTCCCGCTGCTGTATCCTTGACGACTGCCGCCCCGCTGCTGTATCCGTGACGACTCCCGCCCCGTTGCTGTATCCGTGACGACTCCCGCCCCGCTGCTGTATCAGTGACGACTCCCGCCCCGCTGCTGTATCCGTGACGACTCTCGCCCCGCTGCTGTATCCGTGACAGCTCCCGGTCCCGCTGCTGTAGCCGTGACAGCTCCCCGTCCCGCTGCTGTATCCATGTCGACTGCTGCTGTATCCGTGACAACTTCCGCCCCGCTGCTGTATCCGTGACGACTCCCGCCCCGCTGCTGTATCCGTGACGACTCCCGCCGCGCTGCTGTATCCGTGACAACTCCCGCCCCGCTGCTGTATCCGTGACAGCTCCCGTCCCGCTGCTGTATCCGTGACACCTCCCGTCCCGCTGCTGTATCCATGACGACTGCCGCCCCGCTGCTGTATCCGTGACGACTCCCGTCCCGCTGCTGTATCCGTGACGACTCCCGTCCCGCTGCTGTATCCGTGACGACTCCCGTCCCGCTGCTGTATCCGTGACGACTCCCGTCCCGCTGCTGTATCCATGACGACTGCCGCCCCGCTGCTGTATCCGTGACGACTCCCGTCCCGCTGCTGTATCCATGACGACTGCCGCCCCGCTGCTGTATCCGTGACGACTCCCGTCCCGCTGCTGTATCCGTGACGACTCCCGCCCCGCTGCTGTATCCGTGACGACTGCCGCCCCGCTGCTGTATCCGTGACGACTCTCGCCCCACTGCTGTATCCGTGACGACTCCCGTCCCGCTGCTGTATCCATGAAGACTTCCGTCCTGCTGCTGTGTTCGTGACGACTCCCGCCTTACTGCTGTATCCGTGACGACTCCCGCCCCGCTGCTGTATCCGTGATGTCTCCCGCCTTACTGCTGTATCCGTGACAACCCTCTCTTCGCGGCGCAGGTGCGGGAGATTGTGCGAAGCCCGGCCGGCGAGCCGGCCAGCCCGGGCGGCGCCCTGCGTTCGGTCAAGATCACGGCGCGCGTTGGCTCGCTGGGCAGCGACGTGCTGGTGGTGCCGCGCCAGCAGCGGGCCGACGCCGAGGTGAGCCCCTCCCCCCCCCCCGCAACGACATCGTGCCCGCAACCATGCCGGCATTCGCACCCGCCCAGCACTTGCACCTGCACTCACACCCACACATACACGCACGCAAACGCACAGCCTTAGAATAGGACACACATACGCAACTCACCGCTGCTTGTTATGTGGGGAAGACCAACCGCGATGTCCTCGCTGCGGGGACCATTACACCGTACGACATGTCCTGATAGATTGTGCCCACCTCGCATCGGAACGCATGCGCCATTTTGGATCAGGGTCCGTGCGCCAGACGCTCTATGCTCTGTTGGGAGACGACTCGAGTTTAGTAAATGACGGGCACATTTTTAGTTATCTTGAAGGCATACAATTCCATGCCATGTATCGGACGTAACCTTGTCTCCTTGCTTTTTCACGCGTCTGTTTAATGAAAATTAGGTTATGGGCGCCATATGACCAACGCAGTCTGTGCGCCCAAAGCCCAAATCATCATCACGCACACGCACACGCATACGCACACCCACACCCACACCCACACCCACACCCACACCCACACCTGTACCCACACACCTGCACCCACACCCACACCCGCACCCTCACCCACATGTACACCCACACATGCACCCGCACCCGCACCCTCACCCAAACCCACACCACACCCACACCCACACCCACACCCACACCCACACCCACACCCACACCTGCACCTGCACCACTGCACCTGCACCTGCACCTGCACCTGCACCTGCACCTGCACCTGCACCCGCACCCGCCCGGACCGGGAAACGACCGGCGGACGGCTCGGAGTGTGTAAACACGGCCTGTCTGATGGTGTTTCGCGGAACGGAGGTCCCTGGTGACCTGCGTTGAGACGAGTAGGCTCGCCGCGTTGATATTGGGGTGCGCGCGGGATGCATGTTTGGGAGCAGGTCTCTTAGGACTGGTCGCGCACTATAATCAAGTATAGCTGCCATCTGACATCAGCTGCGTCCTGGTCGGCTGCGGTCTAAAATCCGTCGTACGCATGATGTGAAGGAGATTAGCTGAACAGCGGGGCGGATGTTTGGTATGGGAGGTTATACAGGGCATTGATCTTACGTACGATTTACGTGTAAGGTTTTCTGTTCATCGAGACATGTATGTTTACAGGATCCTGGTATTACGTAACATTTGAAGGAATCCCTGTCCGATATTGTTTACGACACCCGTTGTTTTCGTTCAGCCGGATTTATACGGGTGGAAAGGGTGCTGGAATTAGACATTTCATCTGATGTTGAAAAATGCAGTTTGAAAGGTTTTTGTAGACTCTGTTTAAGCATGTTGGAAGCCGACAGAGGTTTGCCAAAGTCAGGATGGAATGCGTACCATGTTAGTGTTTTTGGGAAGGTGCTGCTATGTCGACGAGGACACCGTCCTCCAGTGCCGTCACTAACGGTCTGAGTGGCAATTACATGGACGTCAACGCCCGGCATTGCAGATTGTGTGCTGGAACTCGGCAACCAATCGTGGCTGACATTGGCGAAAGCCAGTCTGATATACGGTCATCGGCTCAGCAACTCTAAGGTCAAGGGAGATGTTAGGGCCGTGGCGAAGTCCTCTACGCCATTGTCTCTCGCCTGTGCCATCGCTGGCTCTGCCCTTCCTCTCACCATGTTCGCCTGTGCCATCGCTGGCTCCGCTCCGTCTCTCGCCATGTGAGCGTGGGATGGCCGACCGGGCCGGCTCCGCGCGCGCCGCCGCCGTGCGGTTAACGGCACGCGCCGCTGCCTCAGGTGGAGGTGCGCGGGGATCGCGACCCCGATCTGGACGACGCCGACAAGGAGAACCGGGCGCGGCCTGACGAGCCGGCCGACGCCGGCGACCCGGCCGTTGTGTACGAGGTCACCTCGGCCGACGGCCTCCAGTTCCGCTCGCCTGACATCGCCGAGGTCAGGCGCTCTGCCGAACAAAGCGCCCAGCAGTGGTCGATTCAATAACATCGCTGCCGAGTTACGTGATTGGAAGCTTGAGCTCAGCGGGTTTAGTGCCAGATAATGCAATGAGTTCATGCCATATTGTGGGCAGTGAGGATACCATGGTCTCATTTGAGGAAAATTTGTTTGACGTTTACTCTTGCTTGCGGCACTATTTTTGCTCTGGCGTACCGAAATGATAGCACACTGACATGTCCGCTCTGCTGCCTACGACAGGTATGGCGGCGCGTGTTCGAGGCGGTGCAGGACGCGCGCACCGGCATGAAGATGAAGCCGCTCACCTACAACGCTCGCTCGGTGTCGGGCCAGCAGATGCTGGGCCTCACACACGACGCCATCCAGTTCCTGCTGGAGCAGATGCCTGGCGCCGAGGACTGCACCAAGCACAGCTTCAGGTGAGCCGCGCCGGCCCCGTGTCGGTGACCAGACGGCACGCAGCGGCCGCCGCCGGCTCGAGCGCCAGGGTAACTGGCCAGCCGTTGACGGCGACCTGCCCGGCGGCGGCGCAGCGGCGTGCTGTGAGGGTAGCCGATGTAGTAGGCGAGGGCTTTTGCCATGCGAAGGGCCAGTCACCACGTCAACAGCTGGGGACCGCGGCATTGCGAGACGCGTGGTGAACCCACAATTGCTAGTCGATGTTGTCAGCTGGGGTTTTTACTTGGCTCAAACGAGCAGTGCTCACGGATCGACGCACAATTGCATGTCATGTGTCGTCCGTTGGGGTGACTGCGGAACGGATGGCGATCGACGGGTCGGCTGGTGGGTGTGCCGCGCCCGGATGGGCCGACGCCCCCCCCCCCCCCCCCCCTCACGCCGTCAAGCCGCCCAGCCGGCTGGTGGGTGTGCCGCGCCCGGATGGGCCGACGCCCCCCCCCCCCCCCCTCACGCCGTCAAGCTGCCCAGCCGGCTGGTGGGTGTGCCGCGCTCGAATGGGCCGCCGCCCCTTCCCCCCTCATGCCGTCCATCTGCCCGGCCGACTACGCCGCGCCGCTCCCCCACTGGTCGTGAAGCGCACAATCGGGAAGCTCGTGGTTTCAGAACGATTTTCAGAGCGTACTTTTACAACCTGTTTATTTTTATTATTGGCTGCTTTCATAAACCTCATATCTTCTACAACCACGGTCATTTTATGACTAAGCTCAAATTCAGATTTGCTCGTGATGATAAAAGGCACGGAGTCCCACATAGCTGAGAACGTAAGATCTCGGAGGCCAGGAAAACAACCCGGTACTTACAAATAACGGTGAATTTTACTGGATTATACCACCGATGCTTTCGACTGGAACGACTTTGGTGGTGTGAAATTGATCGCCTTCTCCCGCTGCGGAGAACGACGTGTAACTTCGAATAACTGCTGGGGATCATCTACGGACGGCCAAATCCGTCAGTCCTCGCTGTATCGCGCGTGGTATTCTGTGAAGTGTTTGCAAACCCAAACACACGTGAAGCGCACGTCATTTTCCTGTGCTCTGTCTTCGTTTCCTGTGTATTGGTCATGCGAACAAGGTATGCCTCCACCCATGACCTCTAAAATATAATAGCCCGTGATATGCTGAAGATAGCCCTGTCATTTCACTATGGAACTCCCGCGCCGGTGAACATTACTCAGCTTAGCCAAATGTGGCTGAAGCGTGCTGAAACAACCGGCTGCCTTCGTTGAGCGCTGGTTAGTCTGTCATTGTTTTGTATGCCTTGCTAGACATTTAAATGTAGCAATTGCACGGAAAGAAGCGAAAAGATGTGCATTCGCTATACTGCATGGTTATAGCTATCGTAGTACGGTTCCCATAACAAGGCTACCTCCAGGTATTTTTTAAAGCTTGCCTTTGAGCAGTTGTTGGAAAATGCCTCTGAACTCTGGAGAGAACGGGCAGTTGCACAGCGGCTGTTCGTTGCAGCGGAGCATATCGGCAGCAGGCGTTTCGTGTAAACATTTCGGAGGGAGATAAGCGACGGCGACGTTTAATGCCCGGCTGCACTCAATGTAGCGGGACCAAGCCGTATTTAAATAACAAACGATATTGCCTGTAATCTCGGCCGTTGTCTGCGAAACGCTAAGAAATCTGAAATCTAATGAGCAAGCCCAATCCAGTGAAGGCTAGCAAAAGAGGACGTTCACGATTAATACAGCAAGGCAACTCAAGGCAGATCATTCGACGAACTAAGGTTTTTTAATCATGAACACCCGGCTCCTTGGCGAGGCGTTTGATGCCTCCCGTACCAGTAGGTCGTCTCCGACCACCGGCGCGCCGTCCGCTCGCCGACGCCGCGGCTGTGTGGCACGGCCTCCGGGGGACCGCCGGAGCGGCGGCCCGGTCCCGGCGGGGAGCGGCCCGGTCCCGGCGGGGAGCGGCCCGGTCCCGGCGGGGGAGCGGCCCGGTCCCGGCGGGGGAGCGGCCCGGTCCCGGCGGGGAGCGGCCCGGTCCCGGCGGGGAGCGGCCCGGTCCCGGCGGGGAGCGGCCCGGTCCCGGCGGGGAGCGGCCCGGTCCCGGCGGGGAGCGGCCCGGTCCCGGCGGGGAGCGGCCCGGTCCCGGCGGAGAGCGGCCCGGTCCCGGCGGAGAGCGGCCCGGTCCCGGCGGGGGAGCGGCCCGGTCCCGGCGGGGGAGCGGCCCGGTCCCGGCGGAGGAGCGGCCCGGTCCCGGCGGGGAGCGGCCCGGTCCCTAACAGTGGTCCTAGCAATGGCTGTAGGGCTTTGCGACGCACTCAGCTGCTGAGGCTATATGGCGTCGCCTGCTTTTAACCTTGGCAGGAAGGGATCCTGACAAATGTCCCGTGAACTGTTCCCAAAGTTGTATACTGGGCGGTGGCCAGTTTTGTAAAGCGGAGCTACAAATTGCGCTTTTTGGGCTTGCGAGATGAGGGTGTGCCAACCGTAAGCTAATTGGTGTCAACGATTTACCAATGACTAAGAGCAGTCTCCTTTGGAAACATGAGCTCTTTTCGGCCCATATTTTTTGGACCGTGATCTGAAACTAGTATAAGGGCTATTCATGCGTTGTGATACCTGCGGACGAGGGTGAATGCTTGACCAGCTTAAATCCAACAATCCGCTAAACACGCTAAGCTGAAGTGGCTGTGCCTTTACCTTTGTTCTCAAGAACACATCAGCCGGCGTTTTATGGAAGAAACACCCAGTTCAGTAATCAATGCCGGCAGCCTCGGGTTGGACTTACATTGATTGCCCCATCCAGTGCCGGTGTTGATTTTCTGCCGTGAGTGCAAAAAGTTTCCGAGAGGCTCCGCCGCGTCTGAATAGGGCAGTATGTACGGCTTATGACGTCCGCCAGTGGCGATTGCTTCTGTCCCGAGTCCGTTACAGGGAATCTTACGCCTGGGGCTTCCAGCAATGGGAAGATGAGTCTGTTGGTACTGATACTGCGTATGTCTGTCAGATCATCAAGAATGCGGCATGGAGAATAGCCGGGTTCTCATAACGGAACCTCATAACAGTGGCGCTGTTCGCCGGTGCCACTCACTGGATAAGTTAGTGTCGCACTCAAACTCATTGGATGGGAGTGTCCTCAGTTTCCTGATGCTTCCCCAGGCAGTGACGCATGCTGCCCCCCCCCCCCCCCCCGCGGTCTCGAAGACTAGATACTGGCGCTAATTGGAAAGCAGCATCGAATGGCGCGTAAAGCTGCATCAGCGTAGGCGTCAGCGAACACCGGTGTTTGGTGATGTCGGCTGCATCTGGCGGGTCGGAACAGGTCAGCGGGGTCACGCTTGCGAACGAAGGCGTATTGTACATCGCAGCGATGCGTGTCATGGCAGGGGAGAATCGATATTGTATGGCCTTTGGCACCCTGATTCAGGTAAGTGTTACATCCTATCAGTTGGTGAGACCTGGGATGTGCCACATCGGCCCATATGGGCCAAGCCGTGCGTGCGAAGGCCCCACCCTATTGTCTCGAGAATTGAGTATGGTGCGAAGACGAGACAAACGGTGCATGACAACACTCGTCAAGCGGGATCAGATGTCAGACAGGCAGCGTCTCAGAAAATATGTCAGATCAGACCACGGGAGGTAAGACATTTACTCCAGTAAGATTTCTGCGTAGTACGTATTCAACGTCGCTTGATCCGAAGAAGGTCCGACTTAATCGCATCTTGTATAATTGCATTAAATAGTAACATGAACGGATGCTGAAAATCAATTCGTGGAAGTCGCGGAGCGCACATTTGGCGGCACACATACGCATGTTCTTAGACGTTTCAGCTCAGTGTTTCAGTATTTGGCCACTTGAGTGGCAGGCTTGGTGGCAGGTATACCGATATTTTTCCGTACTATCTTACCCGGCTCGGGGTTTTCTGCCTGTTGCTCCCCTCCGTGCTCAAGACCGGCCAATCAGCATGAAAGCAGGCGGTGGTCAACCCAGCACCTAGATGCGTCGGCTTCGGGAAATTCGGGGCGGCTGAATTTAGATTGATTTAATGTTAAAAATGTTAAATGTAAGTGTTTTATGGTGTAAAATGTCAAAAAGGGCTCAAAATGGTTGGGATTAAAGGGTAACGGATTATCAGCCAACGAATTCGGTGGATTTCGAATTTCGAGAACGAATTTGTCCGTGTCCGTCCGTCCCGGTGGCTCAGTTGGTTAGGGCGCCTGCATTTCGACCCACCCACCCGTGGCGGGATGGGTTCGAGTCGCTTTAGGGCGCTCGCTATTTGCCCTTGGCAGGTATGGCCTGCGGCCGGTGGCAGCGGTCGCGCTATAGGTCAGTTGACGTCAGAGGGCGGGACGGACCGTGCCGAGCATTGCGGCACGTAAAGCTTTCGCCACTAAATTCTGCTGTTGCCTGGAATTGCGCGGTCGGATGGTGGGGGTCAGGGCTCACACAACAAGCACTGCTTAGCGTGAGCGCTGATCCCAAAAATCCATCCATTCAAAGGATTCGGACCAAATTTATAAAAAATAGTAAAAAAATCGGAGGCCCTGGATAGCCAGAGTTCTGATAGTACTTGCATACTGCATTTCATACTGGATGAGTTTTGGAACGCTGCTTGAACGTCAAATGTGGCCAACTTCACCTGATCAAAGAGGCCATCATTGTTGACTTTTGAAAGATAGGATCAACATTGTACGTAACGTGCAGAAATGTTTGATGCTTACCGCCGAAAAGTTCAGTGCGAGTCACGTGGTACTTCAGGAGTTTTTCACGTAAACCTCACTGAACTCCTGAATGTGAGCCTGCCTCGTCCGCTACTATCTTCTCTGTCGGCGGGGCTCAGTCACCTGTTGTTAATGTGAAGCTGTAATCCGACGCGGACGTAAGTGGCGCATTGTCGTAGACGCGTTGTTTTCGTAAACCAGTCAGCATATTGGAGTATTCACCCCAGAGGGAAAAGAAAAATCGGATGCGAATTGGTAAAGTCGACGTAAAATTTCTTCTGTAGC